GTGTGCCAGGTCTCATGGGTCACCAGCCCTGCATTTCACCTGATTTTTGTTCTCCCCTTTCCCTCTCCAGCTACAAATCAGTGCCAGGACTAATGGGTTGATAAGGTCATACAGGTGCCTCGAGCAACAGCATCTGCAGAGTCTCTTGGCGGGGCCGGGTTGTGCTTTCGGTCCTCCCATCCCACCCCGGTGCTGTCAGCAAACACAATTAATGCAGGAGGGAGCTGCAACTAACCGGGGTTTGATCCTGTTTTGCCTACATTTGCCTTTTAAACCCGAGTGTGCCCGCGGGGTTTGCAATGTGCAGGAAGGTGGGGGGGTTTGCAGAGCTCTTGGCGTAACTCAGGTCACTGTTTGGTGATGGGCAACACGTCCCTTTCGACCGTGCTCGAAGGAAATACCGCGCTGCTTTCAAAGAGGAAAGGTGTGCTGTGTCGGTGCTGCGGGGAAACGCCGGTGAGAAACCCGCAGCCTCCTGCCTCACGAAGACGCTTTGCGGAGGGTTTGAGCACCACTCGGGTCTCGGGGCAGGAGCGTGCTGCCCGTCCCTCGGTTTGGATGGACGCTGGTTGATGTCAAAGCAATAAATAGGAAGAAGCAGCTGCGTGCGGCGCCTTTGTCCCTGGCGTCGTGTTTCAAGCACGCAGGGCTCAGCTAGCCTCCTCGGCCGTCATCCAGACACGAGGTATTTGGGGCCAGTGTGACGAGGCCAAGCTTTGCTTGGCCAACCTGCTCAAGGGACGGTATTTTTGTATCCATGGAAAGCATAAAGGCAGGTTTTTCTCTACGGAGGAGCTTTTCGTTTCTTGGGTAGGAAGGACCCAGAGCCGTACTTGGAGATATTTGACCAACCTCAATCCAGGGCTTCTGCCCTGACTTGGTTGCAGACTCCCCCCGGGACTGACTCTGCACCAAACCTCTCTTTGCTCAGGACGGGAAATCACTGTGCAATAAAACACAGCACAAACTCTGCATCCTCTTGGTTACTCATCTCTTATCTGTCGTATCCTTATTACTTAATGAAACAGATAAAGAAACTCCGGGATGAAAGATGCTTCGTAAATTTTTGTTGTTATATTAATCTCATCTCTGTGAGGGTGGAAACAATTGTGTAATGTTAGTTATCCAGGCAGACTCCAGATTTCCAGATGCAATTAATAGATGGCTACACTGCCTTGAATGCACTATCTATTTAATGACAGATACGCTCGGAGCTACCCTGGCACAACATTGTACTCAAATGCTATTGTATTGTCATGGTAACACCCCCTCCAAACACAATAAAATATTTAAACAACATCAAAACAACGTCATCAAATAGCGTCTGGCGTAACGGTGTGTGCTTTAGTGCCAAGCCCATTAAACATGGTGGATTTAAAGCATTAAACACGGTGGGAAAGGCGCAAGGAGAATGCAGCTGCACGGGCATCAGGTCTCTCCCGCAAGGAGCTGGGCAGCCCTGAGCTTGGAAAACTTGACGATGGTTTGCTCTCGAAGGTGGTGCTGCCTCCCAAAAGGAGAGCAACAGCAGATCATTATATTTCGAGGAACAGGTATCACTAAGTCTTCCCAACCCATCTCCTGCAGGCAGATGACCCCGTTCCCGGTGCTACCCTCATGCACCTCCTGCACGGGGAACAAAACCTTTCCCTAACGCAGGAAATCTGCCCTTAAATCCTCAACCAAGAGCCAATTCCCCGTGACAACGTAGGACTTGAAGCCCCCGTGGTGGTTTGTCACTCGCTGCAGCAGCGAGGGCAAGGGGCTCACGTGGGGACGTGCCCCCCTTCTTTGCCTCCCGCAAACAACCATCCCCAACAAACCGCAACGCCCCATTTTTTTTTTTTTTTTTTAATTTTTTTTTTATGGATGGGAAAACTGCCCTCTTGGATGGCAAAGAAAAAAAATAAATCTCTCTAATAGGATAGAGCATCTTAGAGATGGGCAGAGCAGGGCCGCAGAGGCACTTTGCGAGGAGAAATATGAGCTAATAAACTCATTAACCTTGCTTTCGAGAGCCCGCTTCTCACCGGCACGGCCCGGATCTGCACGGCCGAGCCAGGGAGGGCAGCGGCTTCCCGGCACTGGAGCTCTGATCGATGCCTTTTGTGCCCACCACTGCAAAACCAAGCACGGGGCCAAACGCCCACCAGCACCTTGCAGAGGCCCCGGGGTACATCCTGCGTGTCCCCCGTGCCCCTGCGTTTCCATTTGAACGCAAAATTGTTGGTCTCGATGAAAAGTAAATAGATTGGCAGGCTTTTTGTGCTGAAAGGCAAAGTCACGATTGACGTGTCATTTTTCTTCCCTGCTAAGAAGTGATTGGTGGAGGTTTGGCTGCAGCACGTACCGCAGCCTCGCCTGGGAGATCGAACCTACGTGGACGGCTTTTCTGCTTTGCGTTCACTTGCTCAGAAGAAAGGTTTTATTTCAGGTTATCCAAAACCCCGCCGTAGAAATGGACCACAGGGGAGGGTTTGGCTCAAAACTGAGCAGAATTGCGAGAAAGCAAGGTGGCTTTTTGGGACCTGTGTTCTGGATGCAAAAAAAAAAAAAGATCCTGTGGTGGCCAAAAAAAACCCACAAAAAACAACAGTTCAAAGACAGGAATACACACGAATCTTTTGGGTAGAGAAACTTGGAAAGTTTGATGGGTCTGCAAGGAAATGAATTATTTGAACACAACAGACCCAGAACAGAAGAAGCTGCTTTGCTCCATGTACCAATACTTTTCCATCCCAACACAAGGAAGACAGTGGCTGTTATTTGAGCTAAGGCAGCCGTTCTCTGCTCCCCTCTTCCTGGTTTGATTATGTATCAAATGTTCTTGTCAAGCAAAGGAAAAAAAAAAAAAAAAAAGGAAATAAAAAAAGGAAGTGGTTATTAAATGTTAGGACAATTTTCTGCTTAGTGATACAATTATTATATAATTATACGATATTTTAATATGAAAGAATGGGCTAATTATTTTCAGGATGTTTGTACATTTCCATCTATCTCCAGCATTTTTATGGTCTGTAATACCAGCTCCTCCAAGCAGCCTAGACCCTCTTTATTACATTTTTTTTTTCCCCTGTCAGAGCCCCCCTCCCCATCTGGGAGGACTGTTATTATTCCCATTTTTAAGCCTGATGGGCAGCTGAACCCAGAGCATCCCCAAGGGAATATTTCAGAGGTTACTTGAGACCAGTGGATTGGGAATCACTGCCAAAAAATGGGATTTGGGGCCAGTTTTCCTCAAGGTATCACTTGTTTGCTCCCTTCTGCCTCTCTGGCCCCATCCTTGCAATGCCAGAGTGGTTGGATGAATTTTGCCGTCTCCTTTCCACCATGAGACAGCATTGCAGACAAGTCGATGGTGGTTAGAAAGGTCTCCAGGTGATGTAGTTGGGGCTTAGTTCATCGTTATGGCAATTATTTGGATGTTTTATCAACCACGAGGGCTTCTGCAGCTGCAAAGTGCTTTAAACTGATGAGGGAAGTCCTCCAAAATGCACTGGCAGAAACAAGGTTGGAGATGTAAAAGCATTTTCTGGCTGGTTGCAATCAAGCACTGGCTTTGTTTTCCAGAGGTCTCAGGCTCAGATGTTTCTCCAGGCAAGAATTTCAACAGAAATGACCCAACTTTTGTGGAAATCCCTCGTTTTCTACCAATCACATGCTTGTGCTTGAACCAGCAGGTTGCCCATCAAGCAGCAAACTTGGGCATGTGGACTTCTTGCTGCTTGGGAGCGTAAACCCAGGGGAACCCAAACCTCATCCAACTCAGCAAACCTGCTGAGCAGGGGCTCAGCCAACACCAGGCATTTGAAGGACGAGGAAGAGGAAGGAGACAAGCCCTCGCAGGGTCCCGAAGCCGATCACAGTCTGACAAGGGGAAAATTAGAAACAGGGATGCAGAAACCAGGAGACCAGCCGGTGTGCCAGAGCAGCGCTAACACCCATTGCCTCAGCTTTTTCTAACCAGCTTCAATTTCAAGTACCAAACAGATTTCGAGGGATAATTATCAGGTGGATTAGGTGGATTTTCAGCTGCACAAAGGCGATAATGTTTGGTACCCTGGACCAGAGGAAGGGCTGATAGCAATACCTTCTGCGTATTTATATGTGAATCCTTACGTCTTTGTCCCTGCAAGTGGCCACCTAAAAATGCAATACAGGGCGTATTTTCGGTCTAGGCAAAAATTAAAAGGAAAACCTGTTCATGCTCTGAAAGGAGAAGGAATGAAGGGAGAAATAGAGGAGGCTGCAGATGCCTCGGGTGATAACACATGCAAAGCGACGCAATGTTTCTCCTCTTCCCAAAGCTTGACGTGGAGGTAGGGAGGGGAATAAAATAAAAAATTTGCGACCTTCTCACTTAATCCTTCCAGTGCTGCTGGCTGCTGCCAGCTTTGAAAAACTAGATTTGCAGAGAGATAAATTCAATCTGCCTTGTCGCCACTGGAGCTTTCCTCACATATGAGAACTGATGTTCGGGGGAAAGAGCCCATGAGTTGGGCAGATATAGGTGGCATCTCAGATCACCCGTGCCAAACCGGTTCAGCACTCTTAATTTTGGTTCAGCTCCTGTAACAGCTGGCCCTGTGATCTACCACAGAGACAGGATTTGGTGCGGGTACAAAACTACCAGGCACGGCTGAAGTGGCCGCTGCCAGCCAGCAGCGTCGTGGCTGGCTTTGTGCAAACTGGTCTTTGCAGAAGCAGCCGGTTGCTGGTTGCATTAGTGAAGCTGATTTTCAGTTAAAAGTCAATGAGTGTCTCAAAACGGGATTCAAATCTCGAGGGTAAGATGCTGCAAGAGAACTAGAGCATTGGCTGGGGAATCCTCCGTAAAGGGATTATTCGATGCTGTTTGCATTGTGTGGAGTGAGGGGCTGCCAGGATGCATTAAGGGGGTGCCAGAAGTACAACCCCCATGCAAGGGAGACCTAAACCAGCCCCAAAAGCTGCAACGTTAGGGCTTTCCAGCCTTGACTTCTCCTTTTCCCACCTCGCAGGTACATGGCTATCATCCACCCGCTGCAACCCCGGCTCTCGGCCACCGCCACCAAGGTGGTCATCGGCATCATCTGGCTCCTGGCTTCCCTGCTGGCTTTCCCCCAGGGTTACTACTCGGTGATGGAGGAGCTGCCGGGCCGGCTGGTGTGTCTGGTGGAGTGGCCGGAGCACAGCACCAACGTGTACGGAAAAACGTGAGTTGAGCTTTTCCAGCAGTGGGGACAAGTCACCATACAGAAAAAAAAAACATGCAAAGAAAGTATTTAAAAAAGCGAACAAGGATAGGAACGGCTCAAAGCGCCTTGGGAGGGGGAAATCCTCGCCCTACCCTAGCGAGGGCCAGTGCTGTGTAGTTGATGGTAGCAAAATTTCCATCCATATCATCTTGGGGCACATTAAGGTTAATTAAGGTGAGTTTAGTGCTGTTCATGGTCCAGACGTGCCCTTCTTCAATGCTCATCCTTGAGGAAAACTCATGTAAAACTGCTGAGATGCAACATTTTGGCTGTGGGGATGGGGCTTTGGGTTTTGCAGCACCTTTCCTGCAACCCATGCCCCTAAAGGCTTCCTAAGGTGAGACTTACTCCTGCAAGAGGTAAACAGGGTTTTACCAGAGGTATCTTGGCCATGCAATAACAGAAAAAAACTGGTTTGCAATTTACTGACTCGAAATGCCCCAAAATTCACTTGACTGCTTAAAAACCAAGCTACAAAAAGGGGCTCTGTGGCATCAGCTCAGGCTGGGAGGCAAATGCTGGGCTAGGAAGGCTCAGCAGGAATCTCCTTCCTTCCCGTTAAGGTGCCGGCTAATTAAATCTGGCATTTCCAAAGGGTCTGGGCAACCCCACTGGTCTGCCAGCACAGCTGTCCTCCACGGTTTGCTCTTTGAAGTCCACGGGGCATGCAGCGAGTTAAATGTCAGGACTTAAAGAAAAAAGAGGGGGAAAAAAAAAAAAAAAAAGGCGTTTGTGATTTCCAGTCCTGTGGAGCAATGAATTAGGGCTGTGAAATTGTGATGGAGCCGAAGAAGAGGACACACACATACACAGAGGTGTGTAAAGCCAAGCTGAGCCTGGCGAAGGTCTCTCTGCAAGACAAATGAGATGAGTTTGCCAGTCAGCAGCGAATAGTGGGTTGCAGGCAGCTGGACGGTATCATTTATTATCATCTTATTTGTTTGCATTACAAGGCAGGTATGGCAAGAACTAAGCTGGGGCTGGCCCAGCTGATCTCCAGAGGTGTTGTCCAACCTTAATGATTCTGGGCCACTGTGATAAATACAGCCAGCAGAAAGAAATGCCGCTGGCTTAGACAGCCCGCGTGGCCAGCATGGGGCTGAGCCTCCCCGGACCGAAACAGCAACCGGTGTGAGCTCAGGGCCTGGCTTTGACAGATCATTTGCTGTTCGGCTGTACTCTAGGGCCACCGCTTTTTCAAATAGGTAATTCAAGAGAAAAATGCCACCATTATTAACCTATGAATGATTTGCTGCTGGAAGCCGGGCGCCGCTTCAGAGCCTGAGCAGCCCGTGCTCTTTGGCGAGCCAGGGGCTCTGCAGACAGATGAGGGCAGCCAGGAACGCAGATGCTAAGCAGAAGCTTTTAAATAGCCAAACCCCAAACAATTTGGAGGGGATTGAAAATAACTTGCAGCTCGGCAACGACTCTCCAAACCATGTGAACTCACTTGCACAGCACAGAGCCCAAGATGTTATTTTACTGCCCCAAAATAACTTTGCAGGGACAGGTGGTTGGGTCACTGTCAGACACCCTCCCCCTGCTCGCATGGCTTTGGTGCAGTTATTTAAGGAAGGCACTGGCGACAGCCGGCTTGTTTGCAATGCTACAATGAAAAATAATATTATTTTTTCAGTTCATAGTGAAAATAAGGGGCTTCTCCCAACAGCAGGGGGTCCTTTCTCTTGGCAAATGGAGCCCAGAAAGCACAACCATGGCATGCAGAGGGTATCAGAGACCAGGATGTGTACCTGAGGTTTTTTTACTGGGAAAATGTGCCAGTTCTCAGCCTGCTCGTATGAGGAGGAAGCAGACGAAGACCTTGGAGCAGGAGAGATGCATCTACAACAGAAGCTGGCAATTCAGCATGACTCGATTCGGCAGCTGCCTGCCACTGCTAACCACCAATTCCTTCTCCTGCTTTTGGTTTCGAAATAGATGTCTGATTTATTCCGATTGCATTAGCTGCCATTTCGGTTTGTTAAGGGAAGGGGAAAAGCCGCTCTACTTGCTGGCTTCTCTGGGAGATAACAGCCTGCGGCGACCATCTGGGCTTTGCAAGGCAAAAGGAGATGGCAGCCCCCTCCTCCATCACCACCGTCCTGTAACTCCTACGGGCTCCTCCATCCTATAAAAGACCCTAAATCTCCACACTGAAGACCTTTAAATTACAAAAGCCAGGCTTCTCTGCGTGCTGTGATCCTGCAGTTCTTGTAGACAGAATAACATATGAATGATTTCACATGGAAACCAGTTTTCAGGGTCCCAAAAAAAGGTGCCAGGGCTCTTTGGAAATCCTTGTCCCTACCATGCCCAGGCAGCTCTGAAAATAAGGGTCCATCTTGCTTACGTTATCTAGCAGCTCCTCTGGTGCATTTCTGCATCACTCAGCTGTTTGCAGCTGGTTTAAGACCCTGCATTACATGGGAACCACAACAAAATCTTCACCGTGGAGCCACGGAGACGCCTCTTTAATTAGCAAAATAGGAAACAGCCCTACAAAATCCAGCTCAAATGCAATTAGCACTGGGCAAAGAGGAGGCCAAATGAGATTGCAGGTACGAAACAAGGAGGAGATGGCATGGCAGCACGAGTCCGGGGCCAGCACCATCCCCTGCGGGGGTTGCACCAGGCACGAGTCTGACCCATTCGTTACACTTTGGAGATATTATTCAATCGAAGCTCCCAGGAGGAAGAGTGAGTGCAAGAGCGAAGCGTGGCTACAGGGCCTGAATCGCCTTGAACAGATGCAGCACCTTGCATTCGAGCCAGGCACGCACCCTGAAAACGCATGCAAAGACCCTAAAGCTGTTGGAAGAAAATTACCTCTGGACCTGGCAGCACTCATGGCACTTTGCAAGCTGGCACTGTGCAAGCCAGCCGCGTTTCTGGGCCACTATTACTCATGTTGCTGCAGAGGAGGGAGGTTTTTGCAAGCTCTGATGGTAGGAAGGAACCTGCAAGGTCAAACAGTCCATCCCCATCCTGTTTAATAAAAACAGCGTTATTTTTTGCCTTTTTAAATAGCTACTATTTAACACAAATCCTTCACTGAACCCACTGCAATCCCAGTGGCTGTTGCAACCTGCCAAGGCTCCACTGACTTCACAACAAAACAGTCTCAAGACTGTGCTAGCAGTTTAATTCAGCCCCTCTCATTCGATTTTGAACTTATTTATACCCATTATAAACAGACACAAAGATCTTGCCCTTTCCACAACCCTGGAGAACTGACCCAGCCGCTGAATTCACAGAAAAGTTTTATTAAACCTCCATGACAAGGGTTTAGGCTGTGTTTTTGGGGACTGGGGTTATGCTGTGTGCCACCTGAGCCCAGCTAAAGCGACGGTGGACCAGGATTTAGGCAAGCTGCATCCAAGCCCCAGTGTCTGCCCTGCAGGGAAAGCCTTTATTTCTTCAGCTTAATATTCCCATTCTTTATAAGTCAAAACCCCCACATTTGCTCCTGCAGGACTGCCAGATAAAAGGTGTGATAAGAGCAAGCATTCATCTCTAGGATAATTCGTGGTGTAAATAGAGTAGAAGTGAGAGCAGAGCCACTTCAGCTAAAACTTCCTTGCCTTATGAAGGGAACACAAGTTCTTCACTGGCCTCTACATCCCATCCCAGGAAGGTTCTAGAAGGCCAAAGGCTGACAGCAGAGGCTTGGAAAAGATCGGGGTGAAAGCAGAGAGTCTTTCCCAGCCCAAGCTCTGCAGGCAATGTGACTGCAGGAATTATGCCAAATTCTCTTTGCCCCCTTTGCCTTCAAGATCTGTTTGCAAGAAAAAGACTGAATAGGTAGAGGGGACACTCAACTACCATCATATTTTCTAGGTATCACTTCTGCATGACCATCCTGATCTACTTCTTGCCGCTTCTGGTGATAGGATGTGCCTACACTGTGGTCGGCATCACCCTCTGGGCGAGCGAGATACCCGGCGACTCCTCCGACCGCTACCACGAGCAGGTCTCGGCTAAGCGGAAGGTAAGGAGCTCCAAGCATGGTAGGAGCCATAATTCATGCCCAATCCCAACTAACCACAGCCAAAAGTACTTCATTAGGGGTGGAAACAGGTCAGGACTTGTTGCGTGACTGTTGCTAACGGAGCAGAGAGTGTCCTCCAGACGTGTGTCCTCCATGAACGTGTGTGGTTTAACCAGGATGTCAACCACGTGCTCCTGGTTGGAAAGTTCTCCAAGGAAAAAAGAGGTGGCCCCTTCTGGAGGGTGACACCCCACCTGCGAAGTCTCCAAAGGATGACTTTGCTTCTCTGCCCTCCCTTCTCCTCACAGGTAGTGAAGATGATGATCATCGTGGTATGCACGTTTGCGCTGTGCTGGCTGCCCTACCACATCTACTTCACCCTACAGTATTTCAACCCCGAGTGGTACCTGCAGAAGTTCATCCAGCAGGTCTACCTGGCTATCATGTGGCTGGCGATGAGCTCCACCATGTACAACCCCATCATCTACTGCTGCCTCAACGACAGGTGGGTTTCCAGTGACTTTTGGCAGCGTCTTGGTGCAACAGGGAGGGGAGCAGGGGGAGATACAGAGGGGTGTGATGGAGGAGAGTATGGATGGAGAGTTTTTGCAGGATAGTTCTGTCCCATCCTCTGCCAGGGGCTGCTTCCAACAGATGCAGGGACGATACAATTCACATCTAAATAAGTCATTCCTAAAGCCCCTGGGGGATTTGAGGGCAGGTATCAAAACAGTCCAGATTCCTAGTTGGGATTTATCAGTTGTTTTTTCCTCCCCTTAGTGAAAAGCAGCATTTTGTTGTTGTTTAGCAGTGCTTAGCTTTGCCTTCCCGCTCCTAGCAATGTCCTTTTGCTATCTCCATGTCCTCTCCCCCTCTCTTCCATTCTCCCAGGTTTCGCGTGGGGTTCAAACACGCGTTTCGGTGGTGCCCGTTTGTCAGCGCTGGGGAGTACGAGGGCCTGGAAATGAAGTCAGCCAGGTACCTGCAGACACAGAGCAGCATGTACAAGGTCAGCCGGATAGAGACCACCGTGTCCTCGGCAGTTGGCGCAGCTGAAGAGGAGCTGGAGGAGAGCAGCAAGGCCAAGCGTCTCTCCGTAGACATGACCTCCAACGGCTCCTCCCGCAGCGACTCCAAAACGGTCTCCGAAAGCTTCAGTTTCTACTCCAACACTCTCACCTAAGCGGCTCCCTGGCTCCGTCAGCCACTCACAAGGGTGCCACCATGCCCTTTCCCTCACTGGGATGCTGTGTTGCTCAATCCACCCAGCATCATCACCCCCGTTTGTGATATGCCAGCTTTTTTCCGTGCTGTTTTACCGTCTCTTGCTGTGCCGCTCGCTCGCCATCCTTGGGCCGAGCGTGAGAGCAAAAGCTTTGGATTAGTTTCACGTGCTCCACCGTGGCTCGTGTCCGAGCACAAGGGAGATTTGGCTGGCCTCTGCCTTGCTCGCTGCCTGCCCAACCCACCACCTGCTGGGCAGGTGGATAGGATGCAGAAATGGGAAGGAGCTGGGGTTTTCTCCTAAACCTTAAGTAAAACCTTGGCAGGCGCTTCCCAGCTCTCTGCAAGGCAGCAGGGATCTCCCGGTGCATCCCACCCCACAGGAGAATGAACGCTTCTTGCACTTTCCTCCTCCCACCTTTAATTTCATTCTCCCTGTCACTCGCAGTTGAATATCCAGAGGGGGTATTCAATTAAAAAATCCCACAAAAATTGCTGTTTTCAACTCCATGAGGCGCCACCAGCCGCTTGGTGCTTCAACTCAGATTCAGGCATTTCTGCACAGTCTCAACTCATCTCCGGCACCCGCATCCCTCTGCACGATGGTCTTCTGTTGCCACTCCACAACACAGCTCATCGAAAAGGATTTCTGAACTGAGCCAGACTTTGGTTGCTGTTAATCAACCATATGTGCCAAAAGCAATCACTGTGATTTCCTAAAAGGCCCAAGGTGATGTCTCTTGGATAGATTTTGGAAGTCTGTGGAGGTCTGGAGAAGAGACTGAAATGTTTTTCACAACCTGGAAAGGTCTAGAGCTGCACAGAAAGGGGTGTGGTAGGATAAAAAATGTCAGAAAAACAAAGTTTTGCCAGCACACAAGGTTTGGAGGGAGACAAGAATTTTGCTAACATTTTTTACTCAGAGAGAGTTGAAATTATTCACTTCCACTTTCTGGATTTTGTTTTAATCAAGGAATCTTTTTTTCTTTTCATCCCCCTGTCTTTTGCATAAAACATTAAGTTTATGATCTCTACATGGATATATCTACTACTTTAGTCCTGTTATGATGGAAAATTTTCACTGGGACTGTTCGTACCAAGGGCTCCTTTGGTCAGCAAAGGTATGAACATACATTCAAAGGGGGAAATAAAGTAAATAAAATGAAAAGTGGGCAAACTTGGTTTGTTGGGAACAAACCCACGAGTTTAGGGGCAATTTGGGGGCAGTTGTATGAACTGTTCCTTGCTGCTGGTCCAATCTCTCTCACTTTTGGTGTAGAAATCAGACTCCTAAAATGGATTCACTGCAAGATAGAAATGCTGGAGAGATGCATGACAGATCTGCACAGGGCAAGGAAACTGCTCGTTCATTTTAAAGCAGCTGAACATCAGACCCTGCTGAGCACACAGCAATTTCTGGAAATAAAGCAGAGATGACTTTTGGAGCTTTTCAACTCTTCAGCCTCCAAACTGGTTGTTGGAAGATCCAGTCATTAATAAATCCCCAGCCGTGATGGTTCTTGGAGATAAAAATACACATATTTGAGCAATGACTTCAGCAGAAATTAAATGCGTGGGCAAATAGATGGATCCAAGAGCAACAAAACGGCCGCAAAAGCGGGTTGACAAGAATGATCATCTTCATTTTTACCCAAAATCCTGCCAAGTGCCATCAGTGAGGAGCAGCTCTTCCAGCCACTTCCATGCTCTTCCTGACCGCTGTGACTACGTGACCTTACAAACTGCCACGTGCTTCATGCACATGCTGGAATACGCGACTTTTTTCCTGCTTAAACTTCCACTTCTCCCCGTTCTTGTCGCCTTAAGACATACCCCTTTGCCACTGCCTCCCACAACCCTGCGGCGTGGAGAAGGGGGAATGGCACGAACCTGCCTGGGGATTTGGTTTTTCAAAAAAGCACCAGCCCCAGGCAGCAGCGATGGAAGGGGTGGATGATGCCAAGCGTTTAACATGAGGGTTGGACTAGGAAACTTTTCCCACCAACTCCACAGGAGCTGTGTGCTGCCAATACACGAGAAGGTGCTACAAACCAGAGCCAAATTCTGATTTACTCCCAGCTGACAACCCAAATTCAAAATTAAAATGAAACCAAATATCTCAAAATGGTCTAGAGAGCTGAATAAGGCAAGCAGAGATCTGCTCTGTACACCCCACGCACAAGAGTTTGTGAGCCTACAGAAGTCAGCATTTAGAGAAAAAAAAAAAAAAAAAAAGATATATATGTGTGTGTATATATATAACCATGCTGCCCTTTTGTCCTCTGTGTTTTGTGCCCCGAGGATGACGTGATCATGAGATGTGCAGAGAAATGACAACTGTCTTCTCACAAGCAATGCCCAGCTTGAAACGTGGGGTAACCCCAAGGGCGTGCATGAAGACTTCAATTCGACAGTTTACAGCCCAAAATGCTTCTTGTGCATCTTGTAGAAAACTCTCCCTTGAAATAATGTGGGAAAAATTCCCACCTGTTATAAATAGTGCCAGCAACCACAGCAGAGCCTGCCTGGGACACCCAGGCCGATGGGTATGTATTAAGGGATCATTCAACAGATGGATACCAATGCAGGAAAACCAAAATGTTCTGTGTAAATGGGAACAGCATGCCCAAACCCAAGTTTTCCTTTCTCCCCTCCAAGTGCCAAGTTATTTTATGGGTGGAGGCAGGAATGGGAACAGGCCTCTTTTCACGTTTAGGATCTAGACCAACCCTCAAGGTGGGATGTTTGGGTCAGGTCCATGTCCACACACATGACATTCATCATTAGCTGGTTTCACTGACCTTGGGATGCTCTGTGCATGCAAAAGCCACAGAAAAGTCTTCTTTTGAAGACTGGGAAGCCTAAACCAAGACACCCCCGCCCAGGTTTGGGGATGGGACGTCCAACCATATGGTGAGTCCAGTCTCTGCACTATTTCCAGCTCTCCTTTCAAACAGGTCCCCTGTGATACAGAGGCTTTCTCTAGCTTATTAAGCCTGTTTCCCTGGTTTGCTTGCAGATCTCTGATTAGAAATTCAATTGCAAATCGAGACAGTTTCTTTGTCTCTTTCCTGGCTCTCTGAAATGCAAAATAATAGCATCTGGAGAGAATCACTCAGCAGGTCTGCACGCATCCCTTTGCCATCTCCTCTTTGGAGGCATACAGATAACTCCCACCATCATTAAGGGGAGCTGCCTAAGCCCAATTACAATGCACTCCAAGCCAAAACCATTGCAGAAGGGAGCTCTGAAACCCAAATCCCAGCCTGAAGCCACCTCCTTACCCTCAAGGGATTGATTATAAGCTCAGGTTTGCTTCCTGGCGCTCAGAAATTGCTCTTCCCACCTAGCTAGCTCCCAGCAGGAGCACAGAGCAGCAAATCCCCGTCTCCATACATACCTCAAGGTCTACTCAATTGTTCCAAAATACAACATTTACACACCGTTTCATAGGTAACCATTTATTTCCCACCAGCTCAAAACAAAAAAAAAAAACAGCAAAAGCCAAGCAAAAGCCTGCTTGCTAGAAAAATTAAGCAGCTTTGCAAACGTGGAAGTCCAAGCAAAGGAGCCGGTACCAATCCTCATTTTTGGTAGTGCTTGTAACAAGATTGCTGGTAGACACGCAAAAGGCTGCCTGCCCACCACTTATCTTTATTATTAGTTCTATTTTGCCGTCCCTCGAGGGATGCAATTGCTGCTTGGCCCAGCTGAACACACCACTTCTGCTACCGGGAGGTGACCTGGGATGGAAGCAGAGTATCCGCTATTTGCTGCATATTTCCACAGCGCTGATGGAATTTTATTTTTTTTTTTTTCAGCTTGCTCTATCCTAGCCAGAGCCCTCCTGCGAGATCACACAACCAAAGTGCACAGCCCAAGAGCTCCTAGCTTTTGCTTACCATTAAAATAATAACAATTTTAAAAAAAATAGAAATCTCAGGTTTTAGGAAACTGTTACTAATCTACTGAACACACCATCCTGCCCAAAAAACCTGTCTTCAACTGAATAATTACTACAGCAGTTACAATGCAAAGTTTAACACGCAAATAGCCCCTTTTCCTGCAGTATATCCACCCAAAATACCATCTCTGCTGGAAGCTAAATCACACTCATCAGTTAAATGCGGCACCCCAGAGAAGGGACAGTGAGTCCCAAGGACAGCTGGGGATGAGAGATGACTCCCGGGTGTCTCTGCCCTTAAACTTTCCATCCCGGATAAAAAGGCACCTGATTCTGTGCAATACGATACAGTTGGGGCCAGGAGGGGAGCGAGGGGATGAGATGAGCTGCGACGGACGTCTGGGGTTTGGTATTTGGTGTGTGGGGCAGCTCATAGGAGTTTTGCGTGAAGTTCTTCCTATAGTAGCATCTCTACAGAGAAAACGTCCAACCCTCCTCCCCACAATGGTCTCTCTCTGATCGTCGGGTTCGTCCAAATGGATTTTCATAAATAAATGTGTCTTTTGTGAGATCATGTTGCAACCCATTAATGAGCTCGCAGTGATGAGGGGCAGCAATTGGTGGCTTGGTGGGAGCAGGAGGAGAAGCGGCGAAACACGGCAAAGCCAAAACTAGGTAAAAAGAGGGGTGAAAAGCAGCCGGTGGGTTTGGGGGGGGGCCTTCGGTGCGAGGGGTGTGCTCTGAAATTTCACCACTACAGCAAGAAAAAGGGTAACCCTTAAAACTCAGCCGGCTGCAAAGCCGGGACCAGCCGCACGCCATCGACTCCCAAAGCACGGGGAAGGCTCGAATCGCTCCTCGAACGCGGGCAGGACTTACCAGCTGCTCGCTTCTCTGAGCAGGGCGGAGGCAGACGTGCGACCGGCGGATCGTGCGCCAGCGCTGGCACTTCCAACCTAGTTGGCTGGCTGCGAGGCAGAGCGATTCCCTCGAGGAAGCAGCTAACGCGCTTGGCTCCGCTTTCTGGTTTGGACTTGCCAAACCCCACCCCGCTCCGCCGGGACAGGCACCAGGACAGCACAATCCTCGGCTTTCCAAGCCCCCAGCACCCTGATGGGAGAGAAAGAGTCAATGGAAGGAGCAACCAGCCACGTTTCACCTCCCAGAGCAAACCCCCCGAACCCAGCCAGCCCTTGCAATCAGCTCCAGCCAGCTATAATTTGCAGTTTTTAATTAGAGAAGCCTTGCCAAGGCACAGCTGATTGGCATTGCTTGCCAAAGGCCCTGTCCCATGTGCCTATTAAGCTCTTGTTATTTATTTTCATAGGTTATTTTATCATGCAAAAGGGAGGGGAGGAATAAACAGTGTCATGCACTGCTGCTGTACCATGATTGGTGCAAGCATCTGCTTCCAGCCAAGCTTCCCCGCAGTGGGAACCTGAGAGCAGATCCCACTTTACGGCAGGATTCAGCACATCAGATCCAAATGAGGGGTCATTTGATTTACCAGCATTAACGCTTCACCTTTCCCAGAAGGGTTCATACCTGTTCCTAAATGCACCTGCACACACACATTAGATAAAAGCAATGAGAATGTGCTTACTCGTTATAAAAAATACTCATCAGCTATAGCAATCCATGGCAGAAATGGTACAGTGCAATCCAAGTTCCTTGCGTCTCAAGTTCATCCCGGTTTGCACGTTTCCTCCAACTACAATCCGATATGAAAACACCCCAAAATCAAGAGCTGCCTGGTGGGTTGGGGTCAGGGTTGAGGCTCTGGGGAGAATTCAAGGTGGTTGTTTTACAAGGGAGGGGAGGGACAGAGAAAAGGATTATTCCCTCCATTTGCAGCTTGCCGAACTCCCGCAGAGCTCTCTATCAGCATCCTCCTGCCCTAGCAAGACACGTTTGCAGAGTTGTCACCGTGCCTGCAAAACCCACCGGTGTCACTCGCAGGGTGAAACCCGGATCTGCATCGGGTCGAGCCACGCCAGGTGAGAGCAGGACCAAGCAGGAGCACGCTAAAGGTGACACCCAAAGGGCAAAGCCTTGTCGGCACCTGCACCCTTGTGTCTTTTTATAGCTGCTCTCAGCCACCGTGGCGAGTTTTGCAGACTTCAGCGAACCCATCAATCTGATTATCTGCTACGGCTAAGACAAGTTCAACTTAATTAACATTTATGGATTCCACAGTGTTTTGCATAAATGTTTGCTTAATACACAAGTCAAAAATATCCCCAGAAAATGAAAAGTAAAGATAGTTAATTGCTTGCAGCTATGCACCAGTGTGTAAACTGGGGTTTCCATAGCATCAAATGGTCTGTTGGGTCCTTATGACAAAGTTAGAGCTTAAAGAGAAACAACTTCAGTTAAAACGTACGGAGGAAAGTAGATTCTTCATTCAACTTCATGAGCTCACCACTTCAATTTCTGTGCACATTACAGCAGATTTTGGTTTCCCCACCACAAACAGGACTACTTGGTGGAGAATTACAGACACTGCTTCACCATGGCCTGGTTGTTTAGACAAGCAATTACATTTATTACTGAGCTGAATGAATCAAGCAGTAGCTAATAAAAGGCTTGAGAACCCCCGTGGCAATTCAAAAATCAACCCAATCCGGTTGCAAGCGTGAAATGAGGATTAACTGCAGTTTTCGTATTCCTGGTGCCAAGGAACCACATTAAAAGGACTTTCCTTTGTATTGGCAAGATGCAAAGACCTGAGTAGCTCCTAAGGAAAAAAAGGCAGTGGGTGAGAGCAAGGATTGCTTAAATAGGATGCTCAACCGTGGCAACAACTGTAATGGGCTTGACTAAAAGTCAAATATTATTAATTTGAGCGATTTGACGGGCAGGGAAGTGTGTCACAGAAGGGTCTAGGAAATCCTGGCGTAACCTGTGCTCTCACCACACAAGATCAGGGCTCTGTCCTGAAAGATATCCCAGGACAGAGATCCCATGGGGCCGTGCCACAACTAATACCCCCACTCCTGTGCCACACTGATCCTGCTTTCCCCCTTCCCTTTTCCTCCAAGGAAGTTGTAAGTCAGGCAATTATAAGCCTCCCAACAAAAAAAATATTCTGGTTACAGAAGACCAAGGTGTCAAAAAGAAATACAAGCCCTTCCTGAAGCCACAGTCATTCTGAATAGCAGCATTTCAGGCTGAGAAGAGCATTATCATGCAAAGCACCTCCAAAAACATTATTCCTGTTATTGCGAAGCAGATTGTGCTGTCCAGGTTGATTAAAAAGGTTTCAGGGAGGTAATGAGAGCAATTTTCAACAGAGGCGAAAGGAGAAAGAGGGAAAAGGAGGGTTGTTTTGAACCACTCTGCTTTCTGTAGAGGCACGCAGCCATGATATCACAACAGCAGATAATATCTGTATTGAGGGATGCGTCGCTGATTATTACAAGCTGTTCACCATCCAAAAGCTACTCTGATGCATGGCATAATCAAACGGCTGCAAATTTGCATTTAAATTGAGAAATTTAGGAATCCATAGCCCAAAGAGGAGCGGGCCTCCTTGGGTGACACTTCTGGCATTTCACAGCCTTCACAGAGAAAAGACAAAAATGGTGTGTGACTTCAGAACACCCCCCAGAGCCTGTCCTGCCACCCTTCACCAAGATGTGCCTCTCTAAAAGATGTGATTGATATCCACGCCCGAACCGTGCCACAGCCTAAACCTCCAGAGAGCAGAGTCCCTGTTAAATGGGTTTGTGTTCAGATTTTGGTCTTGCAGCACTAATGTTGTCAGTGTCACAACCTCTCTCCCCCAACACCCCAGCATTCAACCACCCGGACAGCAGTGGCAGACACTACCCACACTGGGATTTGATCAGCAACACACAAAAAAGGCCACAAAACTGGTGGCAGAGGCACATTGGGCACATCTTCAGGGAATTGAGTCACTCCGCACACCCAAGGGAGAGAGCATGCAGGGGACGGAGACAGCATCCTCCAGAGCAGCTCTGGTCTGAGATGCTCTCTTAAGATCTGTCAACAAAATCCTCCCCAAGGACTTCACCCATGCTCCTGGCAAGCAGAAAAGCGTGGTGAAGCAAATTATCCTGCTCTGCAAACTGTCTTCCTTTCCTCCCCACACAGGGAACCCACAAAGACCTCTGAAAACACCGGTCCGGTTGGCAGGCTGTGCAAGGACTCAGGGTCCCACCGATTTTCCCTGCAATTGTTGAGTTTGCTCCTGTAGATTCAGGTCGTGCCTGTACACCAGTCCCACCCTCCTCTCCCCATGCTGAGCGAGCCCCTCATTCACAAGCACCAACCTGGTTTGAAACGATCGTTTCAAACTACCAAGAGTCCTAAATTACAAAATAAGTTCAACTGAATTAACGAGCCACTGACCCAGCCAGCACATCTAGCTTCTCCACAGCAGGTTCCTGCAGTCAGAAACAATTGCCGGTGTAATTCTCGGGGGCTGCAGGCTGGTGGTTGCATCCAGACCAGCCTGCCCATTTTTCTTCCCTTTGCTTGTAAGGGAAAGTTGCCAAAAACAATGTGAAGACATTGCGTGGGCACAGCCAGACTGAAGCTGGGGAGAGGCACAGCCTCATCTTGCTGCTGCTGGCCCCAACAGCTCCAGAGGATTTACAGCTCATCACATCCCTCATCTGCCTTCAACCCTGCAATCTTATCTTGATTGCTCCGTCAGGACCTTGAGGACTTTTTCTCAGCTGGAAGTGTGAGCCCACGCTGTGACCGTGCTACCGATGATTTATATATTGCTGCATTTGAGGACTTCATTTTATATTTGAGTCTGCAGACATTATCGGGTCTGTGAAATCCTGGCTTTTATAGTACAAGTGCTTTGCCCAGTGATAAAACACAAGAAATGAGAGCACGAAAGGTCAGATCATCACTGCTCATCACAAACGAGCCAGGTGCCTGCAAAGGAAGTCAGTGGGGCCATCCTGAGCTCTGAAACCCTGTGGGATGGTCCTTCGCACGCTGGCCTCCTCCGGGGCCTCTCCACACAGAGCCACACTCTAAAGGGGAAAAAAAAAAAAAAAAATCCAAGCTGTGTTAGTGCAACCCACGTTACAGCCTTTGCAGACATAGCGCAGAACCAGGACGCAGGCAGGCTGCTTGGGAACGGGCCTTCCTAATAAGACCTTAGAGAAATCAAACTATTTACCTCTTCCGAGGTTTCAACCTCTTCTTTGTGCCCTGAGGTACGAGCATGACCAGAAGTAGCTCTGCAGCCGTAACAAGCAAGGCTGAAAGCAGACAGCACGCTCTGGAAGGGAAAAATCAGACAGAGAGGCTGACCCTAGGGTGTCTGTCTGCAAAAAAGAGCTGCACTGAAAACCAAACCCAAGCCCCTTCCTACTCACCATCAACAGCTGAGCAGGTATTAAAAAGCCTTTTATTATTGAGATGAGCTAGAGTTGTTTGCATAACAATACCAGTGGGTTAGTAAATGCTCCTTTAGTGTCTGCTCCAGCACACAGAAATTACCAGATAATCTTTAATTTGCAGGTCATTTATAGAGGGGTGCACCACTTCCACAAGAGGAGCCCCCACTTGTGGTGGCATCAAGTCTCAGCCACTGCAGCAGGGTCCCGGATGCTTGGGGACACGGGTGCATGCAGAAGTGCCCCGGACCCACGTGGAAACGGAACCTCCAGCAGCCCCACTGCTGCGGGCAGGTGCCCACCGAGTCGAGCCAAGGTCTGATGCTCCCGGCGGGCATCCCCCTAACCCCAGAAAGCTGCGAGTTCAACACTCCCCATCTCTGTTCTTAGCCTTGCAGCCGGGGAAGATCCTTATGCTGTGGGTCCGGAGCGGTCGGCGCATCCCTCCCCTGGGACCCACCAAACAGCTCGGCAGTCCCATGGACATGACCGACAAAGGTTTCAAGTCCATCGCAGGACCTCTCCCCCTCTCAATCCTACTCTTTTCCTAAACTTCCCACCCCCCCTTCCGGCACTTGCCTGCAGCTAAGAGACATCTCCCGTGTTCAGTGTCACCCCAAAGCTCCCCACAGCCGTGGCATGGTGCAGGCAGCCAGGCGGAAAAGTACTGGGAGCACAGCAGGCTGCAGTTGCTGCCTGGTGGGCGGACAGCTGGCTTTCCCTCGTAAGTCATTCTTTCCAGCTCTCCAAGCAAACCTTAAATGAGCCTCCAGCATTCTCTCCAAGAACAGGAGAATCCCAGCACACCTCCATCTGCCAGGGGATTTTCAGGAACGCAGCCTCGGCAAGCACCCACCAGCAGGTCTGAGCTGTAAATCAAGTTTCTCAAAGTCCTGCCAGTGATTTATTAGTTGGGGAGCTGATGGAAAGGCGAGCAGCCCTTTGTAAAAGTTCCTGTCACCAAATGATACATTCTCTTAATTTCCAGTTAAATGCAGAGCATGAATATTTCTGTCTTCGCCAGCATCACTAATAGCTGGAAATAATCAAATGCTTCACACATTGCTATTGCCACGGCAGGAGTAATTTATTCGGACATTAAAAACCTTCATAGTTCCTTCGGCCTCTTTCATTTTGGATATATAGTTGGAGATATTGACTTGTTTACAACCACCATTAAAAGCTTCATTATGAGGCTGTTGCTCATAGGAAGACACATCACAAAGCGTCACCTGGGTTTTACAGCCTCTTCATTTTAGCCTGGCCTGGCTGGAGCAGCCGAGGGAAAGGGACCAGACACCTTTGCTCAGATCCAGTTATTTGGGGACAAAAAAATCCCTGCAGGGTTTTTACCGCCCCCCCCCAAGTCACTTAGTCCCTTGTGGCTTTTAGAAGTGCCCTGGGCCTCCAGGCTTACCAGTAGGCACCAGTCCCCACAGGTTTATTCTTCTGCCATTCTTGTCAGTGCAGAAACTAGCTGACGGCACAGCAATTCCTTGGCCATGGCGTGTGGGGAGCAGGGGTGACTGGTGCCAGGGTTGGCTCAGCAGGGAGCACAGCATCTTTCCTGATTGCTGCTCCTGAGGAATGGAGCTGAGAACAAACCACATCTTTTCCTCCTGCCCCATCCAGTGGTTCAGGCTGGAAGAACACTGTGCAGTCAGGAAAAACTCAAGACATCAAACTGCAGCAACATCGCAGCCCCCAGTACCTAAATCCACCACAAAACATTGGGGCAGCTGCTGCTTCACCCCCCTCAGGGGGATGATGGCTGGGAATTCTGGCCTGGTAGGGTTGGAAAAGCTTCTCATCTTGGTGGTGGTGGCACTGGAGAAGCTGCTCTTCCCATCAGCTACAGGGTCATGATGATGAAGCAGGCACAGGTCTGGGCCATCTAACTTTCCACTAGCGCTTCTACAGCACAGGACATGCTACAAAAGTAAACCACAATGTGTTATTTCCCCCATCGTGCTGCCTTGCCGCAGGCACATAGCCCTCAGCCCAGACTGCTTTCCATACTAAAGCAAGGAACCTGTCTCCTGTGCCCACAGCCCAGGCACTGTGCCGTAGGCAGGACTGCTAGAATCAGGCGCACCAGGACGTGTTTCTGCTGGGAAAAGGAAATTTGAGGACCAACAGCTTTCCCCAGCAAACCTTCCCTGTTAGCAAGCGCAGGGAAACCAAAGCAGTACAGGTAACCTGGCCTCATCGGCTGAGAGCTGGGGAAACGGGTGAGAAGCTGAGGTGGAGATATGGGGGAGCCTAGCTGTCTTCAGAGGGTCCTGCAAACACTGGCTGCCTTGCGTCAGACCAAGAGCAGAAGGGATGGGCTTTAAGAAGGACTATTGACTCCTCACTTATCAGTCTCTCTGTCTTCAGCACGGCAGCAAAAGCGGGAACCGCAACCTGCTCCTGCTCTCGCTGAGCATCATCCTTCCTGGGCCAGACTGGAAGGATGCTGTGCTGGGCAGGATGGAGGGCTCCAGAGCCAATGCCAAGGGGGATGCCCCAAGCCATCTGCTAGCCCCCACTGCACAGGGCTGGTACCTGAGCTGAGAGTAAAGCCCAAAGACCCCCACCAACCCTCTGGCGTACCCTGAAACCCACAAAGTACTGGAGAGGGCTTCGGGGCACACCAAAAAAAAAAAAAAGCACCTGGAGGGCTGTGGGGTGCAGGGAAACAAACACAGAGGGCTCTGGGGAACACCAAGCAGAGCACAGAGCTTTTTGGGGACCACCAGACAGCACCCGGAGTGCTCGGGGTGGGGTGGGGGGGTGTCTGCAGAGCAAATTGAAGGGTCAAGCAGACGGCCCGAGGGCATTTCCACACAGACGGGCTCCAGGGACAACGAGAAGCAAACGGAGGCCTCCGCGGTGGTGGTGGTGGTGTGTGGGGGGGGAACATGGAGGCGCCAACGGTTGCGCGGACCCCTGACAGGCAGTCAGCGGCTGGGGAGGGGGAGGCGGTCAGTACCTAAGCAGCTCGGCTCTGGCGTTTCTCCCTCCGAGGAGGAGGGATCTGACCGCTGCTCCGCCGGTGCGAGAGGGGCGCGGGAACCACCGGCAGCGGATGGGCACCCCAGCGGGGGTGAGGGGGGGAAACCCTGGGAGGGAAACCGTGAGGGAGGCCCCTCACGTCGCACCCGCCCGCGCCGCCGCCCGCCGCCCGCCTGAGGGACCGCGCCCCGCCCCCCGCCGCAGCCGTTGCGCCCGGCGCGCGCGCGCCGATTCGAACCCGGGGTGGGGCGGGCGGGGAGGGCGGAGCTCCCGATTGGTCACCGTCCCGCCGTCCCGCTCGCCCATTGGCTGGAAGGCGAAGGAGGAGGCGGGGCGCAGGCGGGCGGCCTTGCCTGAGGCGGCGAGGCCCGGCCGCGGTGTTAGGATGAGTTTCCGCACCCCCGGCGGCCCCGCTGCCTCCCCCGCCCCGCGGCCCCTCGGCACCCCCGGCACCCCCGTGCTGTCCGAGTCCCTCCGTAACGACGATGAGCAGGAGAGGCGGCAGCGCCGGCGCTCGAGGGCGGCCGATCTCCGGCTGGGCAGCAACGACTCTTCGCTGGGCCTCGCCTCACCCGCCTCCAGGTACGGCGGGACGGGCTGGGGGGCGGGGGGCGCAAACGCGGAGGAGGAGGAGGAGGGTCCCCAAAGCACCTCGTCTCTCCCAGGCAGGAGCCGCTGTGGATGCCGCCCCTCACCCACTGGACCAACTCTCAGATCTCGGACCATTACAGCACCTGCATCAAGCTCTCCGCCGAGAACGTGAGTCGGCTGCCTCGGGGAGGGCTCCTGGTCACGGCCTCTCACACCGCCTCTGCCTGGCCGTGGTTGCAAGGCTGGGAGGGATTTTAAAGTCCTTGAGCCTTGGCTGCACAGTTATTTTTCTTCCAATCCCTCTGAGCCACATCCCTGATCCAAGTCATGGCCAGATCTGGGCTTCTGTTGCTGCCTTCCCAGCAGTGATGCAGTAGGACGTGGCACAGACTGCATCCCCTCGGTCCTACTGTAAATACCCCCCGCAGGATGAGGGTTCAGACTGTTTTCATAAGTATCATTTTCTAGGGGCTCATTTCTGAGCTGTGCTTTGTTTCAGAAAATCACCACGAAGAATGTCTTTGGCTTACACCTGATAGACTTTATAGGCAACATCCTGAAACAGAAGGATACTGAAGACACCAACTTCAAGGTGAGAGCAGTTGCTGCTTGGTCACAATTGTGCTTTGCCTCCAACTGGCATTTAGCCTAAAGTTTCATCAATAACAAACCTAAAATAATACTGAAGGTAGCTGAGCTGGTTACTTCCACTAAAAATAGCTGGCAGAGGCAGCACAGACACTTTTCACAGAAGCTTCCAGTGTTGAATCCTCTTGTACCACAGAAATTAAAGGCTGAATTCCTTCAGTTATGGTCCTTCAAAAGGAGAGCTTGTTTAAAAGTAAGACTTGTGAGGCTTCAGAGGTAAATACTGGGTGTTACAACTAGTAACAAAACAAGGCTGGAAGAGGAAGTTGATGGGTCTAATTCTCAGTCTAATTTTGATCTGGAATGGATCAGAACAAGAACTTGCCAGGGCAGAGACTTACTTGCTATAATAGTTGACTTATGCTAGGAGAGAAAACTGAATTCTTGGAAGAATGAACAAATGGCAGGGCTTTTGAACGTGGCCTCAAGGAACCACTGAGCTAGCTGTCTTATGGTTGATGAAACTGTGGAAAGGATAGGAAAGAGTGCACAGGTTTTCAGTCGGTAGTCCTTTGCCTTCCTGGGGGTGTCTGTGATCAAAAAGGGCACTTGGCATCTCCTGCCCTTCACCTCTTTTGACCTTGTAATTTGGGAAAACAGAAAAAATAGCAAGAGGATGACCCAAAAGAAGGCATGAAGGAGACGTAGAGGAGAGAGATCTCTTGGCAGAAGCAAATCTGCACCTTTTTGCTTCTCTCCATTGCTTAATCTTGGCAATTTTTGAAGTATTCTGTGTGATCCCTTCCAAAAGACCTGATAAAGCAAACTATAGTGGCTCTGCCAGGGAAGACACATCTGGGCCCATGCACCTAGGTCTCCAGTAGGTTTCAGAATAAGTCCTTTTCCAATTGATCATAATTTTGCTTGTAATACAGAACATTCAGAAATTCAGGTCTGCAGCTTGTCTTCTGCATTTGCGTCTCCTAGAGGAGACTTTCACCTTTCCAATTAAAAATTGCATCCTTTGTTTCTCCCGTCAGATGGCAGCTGGCACGCTCGAAGCCAGTGCAAAGATTTACTCCGTGCGCGTGGATGTGGTCCATACAGATACATACAAAGTTCTTGAGGGCTTGGACATAGATTCGGCACCTAGAAAAAACGAGGATAGCCCAGAAGGTGTGTCGTTCACTTATTTTCCCTTAAGGTGTTCCCATTCCACCTGTGCTTAAGAGAAATGTCAGTGTGCTTACAGAGCACCCAGGAATTTTGAAAGGCTTTGTACATCTGGGAGAATACCACTAACTTCGTTTTCAAGGGCTGGGAAATCACGAATTAGTTTGCCCAGATGCTTGAGCAGAGAGGATTGAGATGAGAACCTGAATCTGTTGTTCAATCCTGTATTCAGCAATTTGGCCTGGCAGATTTGAACTCAAACCAAAGGTGGTCTGATCTGAAACATTAAGAATGAAATGCCCCACTCTGTTGTCCTTTGCTTCGAAACAGAAATGTGCTGTTAAGATGAAATAGAGTGGATAAAAAGAAATGCAGCTTCCAGCCAATAAAACATTGGGGGTTCATACTAATAGATACCTAATTGCATAACTTCACACCCACTGGGTTTTGGCGTGTTTGTTGTACAAACCGATGTAAAAGTTGTGCTATCCCTCCATAGGGTATTTTAGCAAGTTTTCTAAGTGTATCTTGTTCTTTTAGAAGACAATCCAGCTTCTGAGGCTGTCAAGAAGGTTCAGACGAAGAAAAAACACTTGTTAAAAACCATCGAGCAGAACTTGAATAACATCAATGTGCCGGAGAATAATCACAGATGTGAGGTGGGTGGAGGGGGGCTGCTGCAGCACCTGCATTCTGGTGGAGGAAAGGAGATGTTGCCTCTTCTTTCTCATTTCTCTTGTCTTCCTTATCGTGCATTCCTCACTTGGGCTCTAAAATTCTTATGCGCGTCTGTGAATTCTGCTGTTCCTAGTCACCTATATTCCTCCTGCGTGAGGCAGCTGTGAGAGCTCCCTCCTCATTGAAGAAGATGCGTGGGTCATTCTCCCTTTGGACCTGTACTTCACAGTCTCCTGCAGAGACCTGCTTCACCCCGTCCATCTACTCCATTCCTTGATTCTCTGCTTCATTCCATACCTGTAGATTGATCCCATGTTCCAGAAAACAGCTGCATCTTTTGATGAAAACGGCACAGCCGGCATTTTCCTCATCAGGCTGCATACCCAAAGCTGCCACAGTGAGCTCCTCTTTGACTCGGAGATCGTGCCTCTCCCTTCCTCAGAGACGCTCACGCTGCCAGACTCTGGTCCTGTGAACGTGACGGATTTAAAGCGTGAGTGCCGGTAACCGCCAAGCGAAGGGTGTCGTCATTTTAGTCTCAGCCAGCTTGACTTGTGCTTTTGTCCACTGCTTGGCTACCCTGTGGCACCGTTGCTCTGATCCTGATGAAGCTGAGACTGGTTGCTGGAAAAACAAGACCTTTATAGATTTTTAGACCAGTGCATGTAGCTTAACCTTTGGCAGATCTGTCGCACAGCTGCATGGTCTGAGCTGTGCAGCAGTTGAGATGAGTGTGCTCCAGGTTAACGACTGACCTTCTTAGAGTGTTTTGAGCCTGTACGTTCTCCCAAACCCTGCTGCTCTGATAAGATTCCCAGCGTTATACCCACCCTCAAGTTAGGGTAGCAGTTAAACTCTCCCTTTCTGCTGAGAAACGAGTCCAAATGCTTTTACAGTGAGCCCTGTGCCACCCTACATGCAAGACAGGCTGCCTACATAGATGGAATGATTTAATGCCTGGAATTTGTTTTAGGCGCTGGTTGCTTCATCCTATATCTGATCTCTCCCACTTCCTCTCCTTGTCTCTAGCCCTGCTAGCGCAGTGCATTGAAAAACGCCTCATCTGCTCTTCGCTGGCTGGTTTCCAGTTTACAAAGTGGGACGCTGAATCCCATGAGGAGGTACGTCTGTTAGCTCTGTGCCAGGTGGGATGCTTGAGCTGTATTCTGTGCTCGCCTCCAAAGTGATCTCCAAGATACACAGAGCAGTGGGATGTTGACCTCCAGGGCTGCTGATATCCTGCATTTTTTTCCTGAACACTTTCTTCTCTTACAGTCAGTGGTAGCCCTGTTAGATAAATTTAAGAAGAGCAACCAAGTGTTCGATATCAATGCAGAGATAGACAGCGATGTGGAAGACTGTGTTCCCACCTTGCCAGATGACGACTTCAGTTCTGACTCCCCCAGGAATACAGCAGCAGACAAGGCTGGGGAATTCACAGAAAACCTTAACTCTCCTAGAACAGTCCACCAGAGCAAGATGTGAGTAGTCACTGAAAATCTGTCACTTTGATTTGATAGCAAGCGACAACTTCTGGCAGCTCTCTGGGGAATCTTTAATTTACTGTGTACACATTTCCCATCTCACTATGGCTTGCTTTCTGCTCAAGCTTTGAGTGTGTCCAGGAATGCATTACAGTAATATCTCTGCCCTCTGTGAGGACCTTTTCGTACGGTCACATTTCCCCAGAGTGATTGCTCCTCTGCTCACTCTGCTCCCTGGTTTGCAGCCTTCCCTTTGGCACATCCACCTCTGTTTTTGCAGCAGCCTCACGACAGTGCAACACTCGCCCACAATACCATTCACTGCTCGAAGAGCAGGAGTCCTGCACACATGCCAGCAGAGGGAGTGGGATGTCTGTACTGAGCTGCTCTGGGTACTAAATGCACGCTCAGGCCCGGTGTGTGCTAAAGGAATGATTTCACTGAGCAGCCTGCGTGCTCTTTCCAGAACTGCTGCGGTTCCTTTTGGAGATGGAGACATTGCGACCATGTGCCTTCATCTCTCCATGAAACCCAGAGAGTACTCCTACTTCAGTCCCCAAACTCTGTCAATGTGGGCTGGGCCGGAGCACTGGCGTTTCAAACCTCGACACAAACGTACGTATTTAGAGGCTGCAGCTGCTGCCAGGTCCTGCTTACTTTTGGAGATAAGTGGCATCCGAGTTGTAAAGTAAGGGCAGTAAAGAAGGGGACAAGCCTGCATGGCTCTTTCCTAGCCAGATGGGAAGCAGCACTGAGTTTGGGCACCAGGAAGGTGCTCAGTCGCACATGGGTCCTTTGGTGTCTGATACATTCTCCAGTGTTTGGGTTTGTTAATGATGCTCAAAGTTGAGGGGGTGTCTCTCACTGCAGCACTAGGAGATACTAGCACTAATACAGCTCCAGCTATTGCTTCCCACCTTCTGCATAAAAAATGAAGATTAAATTACACTTTCTGCTTTTATGAAAAGGTACCGATCCTTTTAAAACACGAAGCTGAGAACAACACCTATTCCTTTCCCATAACAAAGGGAAAAGTCCTCGTAGGTGACCTTTCTGTGTGGAGCAGATGCTCAAGTTAGAAGTGAGCATGTTGCCCTTACTCGGTCACAAAGCACTAACAGTTTCCTTCCTTTCTGCAACAGATGCTAACTCTGAAAAAGAGACCAAGAAAAGGAGTGCAAAAGAAGCATTTAAAATAGACTTTGATGAGGATATTGATTTTGACACATATTTCCGTAAGACCAAGGTACGTACTGTGCTTCTGTCTCTGCTCTCTTTTGCTATATCATTGTGTCTTGGAAATGTTGACTCCAGGTTATGATACAAGTAGAGAGTTCTACCAACCTTGGGGTGGAGAATCAGGCTCGTACCCTGTCAGGCAGAGCGAGCCTGCAGGTCCAGCTGCGTGTCCCAGGGTGCTGCACAGAAGCTACTGGGTGCACTGACTGGACCAGCGTGGGCCCCCTCTTTGGAGGCATCTCAGAACTTGCCCCCTTTCAGATGAAGACCTGTGTCCAGAGCACTTATTTGTGCATTAATCTTCCAGGTAGAGGATAGCTCATGGGTAATGGTATTTATTGCCTTCCCCAGGCATCTGTAACTCTAGCCAAAACCATTCTGGAAAGCCAGAATGTGAGGAGCACCACACTTCCCGCAGACTTCAACTATGACCCTAACACCCTTCTCCAGCTGTTCCTCAAACCAGCTGTTAAGGTAAGAGTCTTCTCTTAAAGCATGTAAGCAATTATTCCATGCATGAAACCACTCTTCAACAAATGCTTGAAGTGCTTCAGGGTGCTCCTCAGGGCTGGAGACAGGCCAGCGTGTCTCTCACTGCACTGACCCACTCGTGGATGCCGAAGCGGCTGTGCTTAGCTGTTGTGCTTTCCAAGGGGCTTGCTAGAGTATGCAAGGAAGAGCCAGCAGGCTGGGAAGAGGGGAGGTGATGAAGTAACAAGGCGCAGGCATTGCTTGGGGGAGTATTTAGTTTTTCCTTTTCTGACCCCTGCTCTTGGCTCTGCAGCTCTGCAGGACGTCAGAGACAGAGAGCTCGTTGGATCACGAAGATCAGATCGGCGAGTACGATTACAACAACCTCAATGACACCTCCAATTTCTGCCCTGCATTGCAGGTAGCTGGAACAAGATTGCTTTCTGTTGCCTATATTTGATATGTGATGGGAATAATTTAGGAAGAATCTGCATCCAGAATTACTAGTGAAAAAGAATTGGAGCTGCAGATTATGACAAAGCAGCAGGAGTCTCTGTGCCCACCCCTGTCCTCTCACTCTAATGACATAAGCTAAACTGCTTTTGGTGTGGTTGCCAGTCAGTCTGCTGCAGAAACTCCATTCCAGCCTTTTCCATGCACTTGTGCCCTAAAGTAGGAGTAAATGCCATTACTCACCTCCTGCAGTCATCTCTACACAGCCAGGTTTGCTCCCAGCTGTTTCAACCTTCCATTGCAATAGGCTTCTTCTAAAGCTTGAGCTTTCTGCCAGTCCAGTGCTGCCTTCCAAGTGTGTTTGTGACAAATCTCAGCTGGTCCCACACTGGCAGGAGAGCCCTCCTCTGTTATCTTTCTGTGTAGAACAGCCTTGATATTCTGTACTCTAGATCTCCCTTGGGTTTAACCTTAGCCCAGCCTAAGCATTGTGGGAAGGGTCTGAATAAGAACATCTTCCATAGGGAAGGTGGGCAGGTGCCACCACCGGAGAGGTGGGTGCTCTTGTTATCTCAGTGCAGGACATCTCTGGCTCCTCAAAGATGTCTCTGGGTGGCCTCACTGCTGTATCTCTTCTTGATCAGGCTGCAGACAGCAATGATGATGATGAACCCGTTCAATTCGTGGACCAGGCAGGGGAGTTCAACCTTACCACCCAGCCTGAGCTCAACAGGCTTGGCGGCGACGTCAATATCACAACGTACGGAGAGCTGAACCTCGTTGCTGAGCCCCGGAAGGTAAGGACTTGTGTTGTCACTGAGCTGTGAACTGCTCCCTGGGCAGGTCTGGAGCAAAGCCTCTCAACACCTCGGGTGGTTAGAAGTCCTGAGACAGCAGCTTCCCTGGTGCAGGATCTCCTCGGTTTGCTGCTGGACACTTTATTTCCAGGTGAACCCTTGTGTAAGAGGAGGGAATTCAAAATCAAAGGTTTAGTAGTAAGGTAGCATTCACCATAGTTCCCAAGGAGAACCATATTGTAATTGTTCCTGTGGTCCTGACTGAGAATAGTGCTGCTGCTTCTGCTCTCAACTAAACCTTGAATTCTTTTCCCCAGGTCAATAAGATAGCAATTCAGTATGCAAAGACAGCCAAGAAAATTGACATGAAGAGGCTGAAGAAAGACATGTGGGACCTCTTGACTGATGGGTGTAAGAAACAAACAGTGGCAGAGGTGAGTGCAGGGGGAGGCAGATGACCTCAATAGGCCCAAGGATAAGAGAGTGCCCTGCAGGTAACTGCTCTTAACTCCCACAGAGAGTCTTGGGCAAGTTTAGCAACAAGACCTTTTGAGTAGCCTTGCTGCCATGGGCTGGTTGATAAGGACAGACGGTGTTTTTCTGACACTGGGACATGACACAGACTCAGTGGTTTTTCTCTGAACACAAGGCTGAATACTGGGGAGCAAAGTTTGTCTCAGCAGTGTCTGTCTTTTTGCTAAATAGATGGAGGAAGCAGAGAAGGAGAACACATCGGTGGTAGTAGGAGAGAAGGTCCTCAGCAACATCATGAAGGAACTGCTTCAAAGGTAGAGAGGCCCTGAAAAGGTTGGACTGAAGATGGGGGGACAGACTTCAGCTGAGCTTCACAGCAACCGCTGACCCCTCTGTGCCTGTTACAACTTGCTGACTGAACCCTGCTGGGGAAAAATCTTTTCTCTTGCTCTCTGGGTGTGCCTGGGGGAGCTACAGCTTGCATGCACCTTGGCAAATTCTCTGCTACTGGGAGGGGAAAGGTGGAGAAAACCAGGTCTCTGGGGAGGAGCTAATCTTTGGCGACCTGGTCCTGGCAGGCATGCTCCATCAGTCGGGTTTCAGTAGGCTCCTGCCATCCTAACCTTCTCCCTTCTCTTTTGTAGGCTGCCTTCTGTGATAGCTGACGATCTGTCTGTCCCCTTAGCCTTTGTCTGTCTCTTGCATTTGGCAAATGAGAAGGTAAGCGCAGCGTGCACGCAGGAGACGTGATCGGTGCAGCAGGTGAAACGCGCAGTGAAAAGCAGCGGGAGCAGGGCCGTTCTCTTGCTACACCAGGACTTCTCCACTTCAGTCCTGGCCCGTGGTTAAGCACTCGTAGCATTTCCAGCCTAAATGCTGTCTGTCCTTCCTCGTCCTTGGGTCTGGCAGCAGAGGGGCGAGCACTTCGTTGCTCAGTGTTGTTCTAAGTGTTGTGAGCGTTTCAGACTGAAGCCACAGCCGATGGGAAGCCTTGGTCTTGCATGTGCTGATGGTGACAGAAGGGGCTGGGGTTGTTCTGAACCTTCCTCGTGTGGGTTTTTTATGCCTTCAGACTCAAGAGTCCGGCTTTGTTGAACTTCACTTTTCTTTTATATTCCCAGAATCTGAAGCTGGAGGGCACAGAGGACCTGTCTGATGTCCGAGTGAAACAAGAGAACTGAACCCTGTGTGGAGCAGACCCCTGGGCTGACCCACAGGACAGAGCTCAGCCTCCCAGCTGACCAGTGCTCGCTCTGGACCATCTCACCAGTGCCAGATTTTTCTCCTCCCAGTGCCATTGCTGAGAAATCCCACTGGTCTCTGCACCTCAGGAAGACTTCTAAATCAAGGATGTCCTACCTCAGCAGAGGACCTGTACAGATGGACGGTTGCAGCTCAGCCTGCCTGGCTCCTGCCATCTTAGATCCATCAGCTCTTTCCTGGGTCTGGGTAGCAGAGTTCCTCCCTCTCACTGTGAACCACCGGTGCCTGCGAGCAGAAGGCTCCTCTGTGTATCACTCACTGTCTGTCCGTAATCCCCTGTACGTGGACTGACTGTTACTCATGTTTCCAGTTCCTTCTGTAGTCCTATTCATCCCGTGAAGTTATTTACCTTTTATACTGAGCTTAAAGATAATAAATTGCTACAGAATTTGTAGATGGAGAAGAAGGAGTCTCCAAAATGAGACAGAGGTAAAAATACCACGCGTGCTGGGAAGCAGCAAGAGCAGGGCGGCTAAAGAAAAGCAAGCCAGGAGTCGGGGGGGCTCGTGCAGCCGGAGTGTCACCTTCCAGGACTCAGTCCCCCAGTACTGAACGATGTGAGCGAGACCGACCTGGTAGCCAGGTTCAGCCAGGAGTTGAGATCACCAGGCAAGTTCATGGTGCTGAGGCAGGTCCAGGATCAAGCTGGGAAGTCAGTCTGCAGGTCAGGCTTGGGTCCAAGGCCACGAGGCAGGGAGAGCAGCGGGGACTGAAGCCCTTGAGCTGAGCTTCAGTGGAGCTCCTGGGCCATGGGTGTGGGTCAAGGCCGTCAGGACTTACTAGTGCCCGTAGGGCCTTGACGAGGTGGGTGGAGAACAGCTCTGCAGGGTGGTGGAGCTGAGACCTGGCTCCAGTGCTGCCCCCAAGCTGGGCACAGGACTCCCACCCTGAGAGCCAGCCTGAGGGGGCAGGTTGGGGCACAGGACGTGCTGGTGGGGTGCAAGACAAGAGGGTTTTTAAGTAAAAGTCACAAACAGGGACTTTCTTCAAGAAAGGCTGTATTTCCTTCAGTTGCAATTCAGGTGAGGGGAACACACGGGAAGAACCAGCAACCTCCCTGTATGCACAGACCCCTGAGGGGCTTCTGGGGCGATTTGGGGTGTTGGCACCTGCTTCACCCCAACCCTTCCAGCCCGGCGAGGGTGGGCTTGAACGCCACCCCCAGGATCCATAACACATCCTGCCCGGCCACTCGGCCCCGGGGCCCGGCTGCCCCTCGCGTTGCCTTTGAGATCCTCAGCCCCAGCAGAGCCGTGGGACTGGTCCCCAGTCACCTGCCTGCCTCTGGCTCCCCAGTAACCCCCGGTTCAGCATCAGGAGGGGAGGTGGAAGAAGCGGGTGACTCTGTTGCTGCTCTGGGCACCGTGCAGCTCTCCACGCCGCTGCACCGGCAGCGAGTCCCCCAGTTCCTCCTCCAGCATCTGGAGGGGGAGAGACGCAGCGCTGCCGCGGGGGGGTGGGTCGCAGCGGGGAGAGCAGCCCTCCTGCCCACCCCGCGAGCGGGGCCGAGGTGGGGAGGAGATGCTGGGGGGGGGAGGGGGGGTGTCACTCACCTCCTTGCGAGCAGCCAGCCGCTGCTTCCACTCGCTGAGCTCCATGGCGTGCTCCTGGTCCAGCCGCCCCAGCTGCCTCCTCTCCTGCTCTGCTAGGAGGTGCATCTTCTCGCTCTGGGAGAGGGGTGGTGGAAAGGGGAAGGGAGGAGCTCGAGGAGAGGTAGCAAGGTGGGGCGGGGGGGGTGGGCTTCACAGCTTTGCAGCGGTCCCCAGTACCTGCATCTGCCCCAGCTCTGCCAGGCTCTCAGCCTGCTGCTGCTGCAGCCGCTGCAGCCGCTGCGCCTGCTGCTCCTGCTGCCGCTGCGCCTCCGCTCGCTGCCGCCTCTCCTCCTGCTGCACAAACTGCGGCGGGGGACAGCCCGCATCACCCTCCCTTTCCCCAAAAGCCAGCTCTTACAGCTTTTGTGCTGAGGAATTCTCCTCGGCCCCGGGTGGGTCCTTGTACCTGCTTGGCCCTCTCCCTCTGCTTGGCCCCATTACCCTCCTGGATCTTCAGGTTGTCCTTGAAGAGGGCCAGGCGGATTTTGGCGTCGCAGCGCTGGCTTTTCAGCAGCTGAGCCCGCTCCTGCGCCTGCTCGCTCCTCAGATCCTCCAGCAAGAGCTGGTGGAAGCGGTTCATCCTCTCCGTCTCCTGGGAAAGGGGCAGGAGGGTGAGGCAGGAGCGGGGCTGAGGGAGCGTCGCCGGCGGTTCCCCCCTCACCTTCTCATGGCGCCTGCGGAGCTGCTGCCGCTGCAGCGCGTGCTGCTCCTTCACCTGCTGCCTGAAGAGCTGGTACTTCTCCTGCAGGTGCCCTTGCTCCATGTTCCACACCACCGACTCACGGGCTACCGGGCAAGACCACAGCACCGTGACCACCTCCAAAAAACCCCCAGCCAGACCCCCCGCTCCCCTCCCCGAGAACCCTCCAGCATCTTCCTCCTCCCAGCCCGGTCCACCTCTCCTGAGGCTACGGATCTTGCTGATGCACTCCCAGTCGATGGACGTCATCTTCTTCTTGTGCTCCTGGACGACCCTCTGCAGGGCTGCGTTGAGTTTCTCCTGCTGCTGCTGCAGGAAACGCTGCTCCTGCAGCGAGCAACGGAGGGGGCTTCATCCCACCACCCAGGGGAGATGGTCCCCAGGCTCCTGGTGGCACATCTCGGGGAGCCAGCACCGCCCCGGACCCTCACCTCTCTCCCATCACCCTTCAGCTCTTGCATCCTCCTCCCGCCTTCCTTCTCCTGGAGGGCTTTGAGGCGCTTGGCCTCGTCTCGCAGCTTCGCCGTGTACTCCAGCTCCTGGCGCTCCTTCAGCTGCCGGTAGCGCCGCTCCGAGCTCTCCACTTCCCGGTCGTAAAACTCCTTCTTGCTCTGCCATGCAGATGTGGTTAACGGGGCTGCAGGGACCAGAAGTGGCCACCAAGGTAACCAAACACCCCCCACCCCCCAGTCCCTGACATCTCCTGCGGTGGGACTCCAGCACCCCGCCTTGCACATGACACCCCCCCCCCCCCTCAACATCTCATGGCACCAAGGGACAAGGGGCTGGTTACCGTCATCTCCTGCTCGATGTGACGAAACATCTGCTCCCGCTGCTGGTGGAACTTCTGCTCCAGCTGGCTCTGAGCTCGCTGCTCTTCCTTCTGCAGCACTCGCAGCTCGCGGAGCTCCTGGCGCCTAAAAGTTTGGGGCGTTGAGGTGAGGGGGGCCCAAGGTGGCCCTGGAGGCACCTCTCTCTCCCCCAGAATGGCTGACGTAGGTGGATAAAGGAAGGGGAAAGCTCAGCCCTGGTGCAACAACACGGAGAAGACTCTCTAGCAAGAAGATAGGACACCTGTTGGGTCCATGGTGGCCATGCTCCCAAGCTCAGCTGATGTCGCTGCCCCTCCATCCCCACCTTCATCCTCTCCTACTCTCCTTGGGTGACACGAGAGCTTAGAGGAGATCTTCCCCTCTTCTTTCATTAAGCTGGCCGCTGGACACACCAGATATGGGGCTGAGCAATGTTTTGGCTCTTCACGTGTCCCTGAGGATGCAGGGAAGGGCCTGCTCATGCTCTGCTGCTGGACTAGACCCCGGCCAGGGAGGCACATGGGTCTTCCAAGCCTGCAGGTCAAGCACCCGTGCTTTGTACAGAGCCCCCAGCACCCTCTCCCCTTTGCCCCTGGTCCTCCTTGTCCAGAAAGGGATGGGAGATGCTTGGTGGCCCCTCCGCTACCAGCATCACTCACCGAGCCGAACGCACCAGCTCGCCCCTTGCCCCAGCCTTGCCGACAGTCCTGGCCGTCGTCACGCTCACCTCCTCCCCATCCACCACAAAACGCCGGGTTTTCTTGACCGTCCTTTGGAACGAGGCAGGTTCCTGTGACCGGGATCAACGGTTTTTGCTCAGATGGCCCAAAACTACGTAAACCCAACACGGGGAGCCCATGCAAGGGGTGGGGCAGCTTCACATGACCATGTTACCTGCAAGCTTCTCACCTGCCGGGCTTCCCTGGCAGAGGGGAAAGGCTGCGCTGCTGCAGGGAGGACACTTGGACCTTGGACATCTGCAGGGGTTTCCACAGGAGACGGCTCCTCTCCTTGCCTTGGTGTGACGGATGGATCTGATGTGTTCCCTGCTTCCCATGCTCCCTGCCCCTGGGAAGAGGTACAGACAAGGGCAGCGTCAAAGCTCACGGTCTTTGTGGCCTTTGGATGTCCACCAAGGGCCTCCTGAGGTTCTGGCACTGCTCCATGAGCCTCCAAGCCACCCATCACCTCTCCAGGTCCATCCCTTGATGGTCCTGCTGGAGCAACCTGCACCCCATCTTCTCCAAGTTCTCCATCATTTCCATCTTGTTCTTCCCAGCCATTCCCATGAGCAGCTCCTGGCTGGTTGTTTCTGGGGCTGTTTTCTGCTTTCTCTTCTGTTTCCTCTTCAGCAGGCCCCGGAATCTCCACAGGGGACAAGTCCTCTGCTGAATTTTGGGCCTCCTCACTTGCAGGTCCCTCTCCTGCACATGCTGCTTCCAATTCCTCTCCTGCCAGCATCACTTCCCCCAGCCTGGCCGCATCTCCGGCTGGGTTACGATCTCCAGTCAAACACCCTTTTACAACATCCTCTTCCCATTTCACTTCTGCTGGCATCAGGGCTTCCTCGGGAGAAGTTTCTACCCCAGTTTCAGTGTTGTCCATGGCTTTCTCCTCGTTCCTCCCCACCTCCCGCTCAACCAGGTCCAGGGGGTCAGTGATGGGTTCACACACAGCTGAGTTTCTCTCCCCTTTGTTCTCTTCTCCGGCCTCTCCCAGCCCGGGCAGAGGCTCCTGCCACCCCTGGAGCACATCTGACCTCACCACCGCCTCTGTCACACTGGGTATCAGCGATTCTTCACCTCGTGGCACCTTCTCATCCACCAGCTCAGTCTCCTCAGGCTCTCCAGCACCCTCAGGTCCCATGGGTGCCCTCCCTGCTCCATCACCATCCTTCCCAAGGCCATCTCCATCCCCAGTGGAGCCAACCTCAACCTTCAGGGCTAGCAACGACCGAGTAACTCGGTGCTGATGCTCTGCCAGCGGCTTGAAGTTCTGGGGTTTGGTCCCCATGGTCCACAGGTCCAGGGCTGCCACCAGCTGCCCCACGGCCGAGCCCCTGCGCCAGTCCCCGTCCGTGGGTGCAAGCAGGGCCAGTGACTTACAAGTAGGGTCTCTGCTTGACTCCTTTTTTGTATCACTTTTGGGGGTTGAAACGGGGCTCAGCTGAGCTGCAAGCTGTCCTTCCGTGGGCGTTTCGACCATCGGTGATGCCTCGGCACGTTGGCTTTCCTCCTGGGGCTCTGCTTTGGGTCCAACCTGCTCTGTCTTCAGCTCTTGCAGTCCAGCAAGGTCTCCTGCCTGCTGTGGCCCCAAGGGGAGCTCGGCCACCTTGCAGGGGGTCCCCAGAGGGCTGGTCTCCCCCTCTTGACACCCTTGAACATCTCCTCCTGCCTCTGCTGGGACAGATGTCCCTTGAGGAACATCCAGTGTCGTAATCTCCAGCCCACTCAGCTCTGCCCCGTGCTGCTCCTTAGCCATTTCTTGGGACTTCATCCCTCCAAAAAACGACCTGCGCCGCATCAGCTTCAGAAACTCGGACGGCCTCTTCACAGGGAGCCTCATGGAGCCTGTGGGCTCGGGTGAGGACCTCCTCCTCATTTGCTTCAAGAAGTCAGATGCCTTCTTGGTCCTGGGCACGTCGGATGGGATGCCCGGCTCCTCACTGATTCTCCCCACAGCGTCCAGGGGCTGATGCTCAAGGGACCCCCCCGGGGTCGGGGGGCAGGAGGACTCTCCATGCTCCTGCTCAGGCTGTTGGGTGGACAACGGGGAAAGAGGTGAGGCTCAGCAAGCTCCTGGAAAGGGTCGGAGGGATCTTGCACCCCAGCTGGCCGCTACTCACGCACCAAGGGGACCGGACCTTCCTCCTCATCCTCTTCCTCCAGCACGTCAGCCCGGGCTTCGGCCACCAGCTCCCGGAGCGGTCGCTTGTCGGAGATGCCCGCCACGAAGGGGTGCTGGGTGGGAGCAAGGGAGGTTGAGTGGGGTCAGCGCCGAGGATGGGTCCCACCACCCTGGGCAGGTGGTGATGGGTGCTACCCACCTGCAGGAGCTGGCTGGCTGACCACCGCGCCTCGGGGCTCTTCTCCAAGGATTTCCTCAAGAAGTCCTTGAAGTCTTCAGACCTGTGGGATGATCCCGGTGAGTACGGGGCCAGAAGCTCCCTGTCACCCCCCGCTGTGAGCCCCACAGACTCTGGGGTGATGCTCTACTGGCACCTTGGCAGGAGGTCCCCACCCCGGTGCTGCCCACCAGTGTCACCTTCTGTGGGCAAAGGCGGTGCGGTGGGAAACCCGTGGTGCCACTACTGGAACTGGGCTCGGAGGAATCACGACCAGCATCACTTACGGTCCAAGAGCCCGTCCCAGCTGCCTGGACACGGCTTCGAGCAGGAGCTGCCTCGTGGGACAACAACTCCCGCCGTCACCAAGGTTGGGGTGACGCCTCCGCACAGGGACTCACCACCTCTTGGGGTAACGCAAGGTGGGGGGCTGGGACTTGGCGATCTTCAGCAGCACCCGGAAGGGGTTCAGCTCGTGGTAGGGGGGCTCCATCTCAGCCATCTCGATCAGCGTGATGCCCAGTGACCAGATGTCAGCCTTGTAGCCGTAGGGGCTCTCCTTGGACGTCTCGCACTGCACCACCTCCGGGGCCATCCTGCGCATGGGAGAGAGGGAAGGAGGTCCAGCCTGCCCTGGGCTGGGGGCTGGTGTCTCCCCCCAAAACCAAACCCAGGAACCAGCCCCTCCGGGGCAACCCTCTAGGCAGAAGAGGTGAGATTCAACCCCAACCCTTCCAACGCTACCTCAGGAGGGCTGGCACCCACCAGCACCCCACACGTCCTCTCCATACACAGTCTCATGCTACTGAGAAGCCCACACTGGAGCCGGAGTTGGCTGGAGGAGGAACAATCCAGTTCCTCAAGATGCTCCTCGTGTCAAGGAGCTGGTTGCGAGCATCCGCAGGAGGAAAACAGGACGCCTGGGCTCCCCCATCCCACCTGCCTGCACTCTCAAATCCCACCATCCCCAGGGATTTCTGCCCCACACCTACCAGTACGGGGTGCCGATGAAGGACACCCGGCGCTGGACGGTGCTGGAGTTTTTAGCCGAGACACCAAAATCAGCTGCAGACCAGAAAGTGGCAGTTAGAGAGAATCCTTGGGGCACAGCATCCCTGGGGCCCCACGCTGCCCCGATTCCCCCCGGGACTCACCCAGCTTGACGTCCCCATCGAGGGTGAGCAGGACATTGCCAGCCTTCACGTCCCTGTGGATGATCTTGCAGCCGTGCAGGTACTGCAGCGCCAGCAGCAGCTGCTTGCAAGCCACTCGGATCTGCTCCTCCGTCAACCCTTTCTCCAGCTCTGCCGTTAGCGCAAACGAAGCCCACCGCTAACGAAGCCTCCTGCCAGCACCCCCCGCAAACCCGGGGGAAGATGCACCCCAACCCATCCTCCCTCCTGGAGAGGCTGCACAAGCCCAGGACTCCCTTCCACGCCGCGGAATTCGGCAGTCCCATCCCAAATCCTCCCACGGCTGCATGCCAGCTGGAAAAATAAGAATTTATTTACCCAAAATCGCTGCATCAACCGCCCCTCCGGGACAAAACTCCACCAGGATCTGCAGGAAGAGGTTTCCCACCCTGGTCCGCAAATGTGTCCCCGCCAGACAGTCCCCCAGCCCTGAGATGCTGGTGGGACCCTGGTTCATGCCCAGGGTGGGGGGACCAGCACCCTCCACAGCTCACCCAGAGCTGCCCGTTCCAGTAGAGCGCGTCCAGCAGCTTGGTGATGTTGGGGTGGTCACAGCAAGCCAAGATCTCGATCTCCACCACATAGTCCTCCAGCTCCTCCTCACCCGGGGTGTCGATCACCTTGGCGGCCGCCAACGCCCCCGTCACCTTGTTCTGTGCCTGGGGGGCGGGAGGAGAAGTTTCACGGGGGCTCGTGGGGTACGGAAGGAGCAATTTTTGGTGAGGGGAAAGCTTGGACCCGTCGCATCCTTCCCCAGGTGCCGCCAAGCCAAACGCCGGGGATGGACGCGGGGACCCTGCTGTCACCAGAGCCAGGAAGGAGGGGGACGCAGGGCCACCGCCGTCCCTGGGGCTGAGGGTGGCTCCGGTGTGGCTGTGCCACCCTGTGCGCAGGCCCTGGAGCACCCCGCTGTACCCCAAAACCTTCTGCCCTCTGTGTGGCCGTGCCAACCTGTGCATCCCACCGTACCCCAGAACCCTCCGGCGAGCTACATCCTCCCCCGGCTGCGATACAGTCACGGCAGGGGGCCCAGCAACGCCCCCCTCCAAGGGCCTTTGGGTGGTTCCACAGCAAAACCCCATCCCCAGAGCGATGCTGAGGCATTTGGTTACTCCAAAAAAAAAAGCCAAAAAAGGGGATGGGTTTGTCCAGGACAAGCCCAGCCAGGACCGAGACCGTCGCTGCTGCGTGTCACCGGCGCCGGAAAGCGGCTGCTGCCGCGGGTCTGACGGATGGCAAATTTGGGTTTCCTGTCGTGCTCAGGCTCTGCACCGTGGTTTCAGAGAAAAACATCCCCGTCTCAACCCCCTCGCTCCATCCGCGGGGGCAAACACCCGCCGGCAAACGGGCCAGAGGAGCCGGCGGCTCTCCCCGTGCCAAAGGTTGGGGATGGGCTAAACCAGCAGTGAGCGAGGACCTGACCATCCTCTGCTGGAAATTTGGGGCTGTTTAGGGGCTTTTTGGCTTCTTGCATGCCGGAAGCTGCACAGTGTGAGGCAGCACTGACAAAAAAACAAAAAAACAAAAACAAAACAACAACAAAAAAACCCAAACCAAAACAAACATACAAAAAAACCCCCAAAAACCCCCAAAAAACAACACAAGTGTTTACAAAACCCTTGGGGGTACCAGCGGTGTTTTGGGGTGCTCTCCTACCTTAAAGACCTTGCCGAAGGCGCCGTCGCCCAGCTCGCCCAGCACCAGCCAGGCCTCCTCGGGGTCCACGTCCCGCTTGACGTGCTCGCACCGCCTCGGCGGCTTCTTCTTTTCCGAAAAGCCAAAAAGCCGCCGGAGAAAAGCCATGGGGCCACCTCCATGCAGAAAAAAAAACCCCGGGGCGGCTGGGCTCGAGCTCCTCCACCAAGCGCCCTCGCAGCCTTCGCAGCCCTCGCTCTTCCTCCCCCGCCGGCAGGAAGGGGCTGAGCGCTGCCCCGGACCGCGCAGGATGTGCCGCGAGATGGAGGTGCCGAAAAGGAGATGCTTTGCTCCACGCGGGCCGCTGCCCACCTGTGGGTGGTTTTCAGGATGGGAGAAAGGGGTCATGCTCACCCAAAGGTGCTGCCTGCGCCCCTGCCAAAGCCACGGGCGGGGGCATATAGGGGCCCTCTGCAGCTATTTGGTCCTTTATGGTCGCAGGTGCTTGTTTAGGTGCACATCGCCGTGAATTTATCTATAAATCCACACACAGCCCTGGCTGGGGTCAGCAGCAACAGGCTCCCTGGCTGGGCTGAGCTTCAGCAGGTCCCGTGGGTGTTGGGACACCCCAGATGAGGTCATTAAGCCTTATTAGCGCTCCGCTAATTAGCAATCCCTGGAAAGATCTTCAAGGTCAGGTCAGCGTTGGGCCGTGCCACCGCTTTGGCAGAGGGCTGGGGTGGAAGATGTTGGTATCGTGGCTGACATCTCCTTTTGCAGCCCCCTCTTGATGGAGAGCACCCAAAATCCCCCTTCAGCACCCAAAAGCAGCCGGCCCCGGCCGCTCCCCTAAAGCAAGGTGGCTTTTACCTCCTAAATAACAAAGCCCCTGTGCTGGTGTGGGTGCAGCATCTCCCCGGTGCTGGGGGGGCTCAGCTCACGTGTGCTCCCCGAGGAGGCCGTTTTCCCGGTGATTACAGCAGTTAATCACAGGGTAATTAAATCCAGGGAGCTATTTTACAGCTTTATATTCATAATATAAAGTGTCAGGCTTCAGCCTAGAGCCGCGTTTCTATACCAGCCCCTGAGGGGATTAACCCACGGGAGGAGGGTGCTGGCCCCTCCCGCAAGCCCAAAGCCCCCCGGCCCCCGTGAGGTAAGGAGCCTCTCGCTGCAGTCCGTGCCCCACAGGGACACGGGTGCCCCCGGCACTGCCAACCCGGCACCGCCCCCAGCAGCTGGGCTTTCATTTTTTGGCTTTTTTTCCTTTTTTCCTTCTCTTCTCTGTTTCCTTCTCCTTTTCCTTATTCTACATCTTCTTTTCCTCCTTCTCCTCCTTCTCCTCTTCCTTCTCCTTTTCCTTCTCCTTTCCTTCTCCTTTTCTGTCTCCTCCACTTCCTTCTCCTTTTTCTTCTTCTTTTCCTCCTTCTCCTCCTCCTTCTCCTTTTCCTCCTCCTTCTCCTTTTCCTCCTTTTCCTCTTTTCCTTTTCCTCCTTTTCTTCTTTTCCTTTTCCTCCTTTTCCTCTTTTCCTTTTCCTACTTTTCCTCTTTTCCTTTTCCTCCTTTTCTTCTTTTCCTTTTCCTCCTTCTCCTCCTCCTCCTTTTTCTCCTCCTTCTTTTCCTCCTTCTTTTTCTTCTTTTCCTCCTTTTCTTCTTTTCCTTTTTTTTTTCTTCTTTTCCTCCTTCTTTTTCTTCTTTTCCTCCTTCTCCTTTTCCTCCTTTTCCACCTCCTTTTCCTCTTTCTCCCTTTTCCTCCTTTTCTGGCAGCAGCCAGAACTGGGCTTTGCACACCGGCTGAGCCCCAACACCTTTCAGCACACCGATGGCCACTGTCGCCCCAGCACCATCTGTCAACCTCAGTAACTCCCCTTTTCCTCCAGCATCTCTTTCACTGGATTAAAAAACCAACCCCCCACCCCCGGGGAGCAGCTTTTCCTCACGTTCCTGTTGAGTGGAGCCCCGCAGGGGCCGGATGCCCCCCCAGGGGTGCTCAGCTCCCCCCAGGAGCCTGAAATTCAATATATTCCCAGCCAGGTGAGCAGAGACGGTGGCGAGTCCCGACAGGCTGGTCCACGCACGCAGCCGTGTACAAGGGGAAACTGAGGCAGGGGACCCCCGGCCCCCCCCAGCTCCCCCCATTCCGCCCGAACAGAAACCTGAAGAAACCTGAGCCGGGAACAGAAACCCAAGTGGGGTTTTTTTGTTGTTGTTTTTTTGCTCTTTTTCATTAAATCACGTTATTATTAAGTAGAAGGCGGGTGCATTCCTGGAACGAAAGGGTTAATGTCACCCTCGGATTCCTTAACCCCCTTTTCTAGCCCCGGGGGGGGGGGGGGGGGGGGGACAGGAGCCAGATGCCCCCCCTGACCTCCCCCCTGCTTCTGCTTTCTCCGGCTGTTGGCCCAAAATGAGTCACCCGGGGATTTTTTTTCTTTTTTTTTTTTTTTTGGGGCTCTTTCACAAGTTGGCCAAGGAGGTTGGGGGGGGGGGGGGGGGGGGGGGGCGGGATTCTCAGGGGGCTGCTATAAGATTGAGCACCTCCGGGTGTTCAGCAGCCCCCGCTCCCGCCCCAACCACCCCCCACTTAGCGTGGCTTCTGTCCCGTGGGGCTGGGACGCTCAAACTGGGGACAAGGGACAAAGGACCTGGGAAGTGAGTGGTACCCAGCGCCCGAGCGACGCTGGGGGGCTCCGTCCCCTTCGCAGGATGGTGCTGAGCAAAGCCACCCACGGAGGGGGAACAGGACCACGGCCCCACCAGCATCCCGGCCACTGGGACCGGCCGTGTCCCCACACCCCCCGGGGGGGGGGGGGGGGCGGGTGACACCGCCAGTCCCGTGGAGGGGGGCGGGGGGGGGGGGGGGGCTCAGGTTGGAAAGTCCGGCACAGTCATTCAGCGCGGTGCTGGGCCGGCGCTGGGTGAGAACCCCCCAAAAAGCCCGGCCGTTCCGGTAACGAAAGAGTCAATGGCACACGCAAACACACACTCACCCTCACGCACACGCACACGCCACTTCCCTGAGTGGGGGATGACTCATCCCCCAGCCCGTCATCCCCCGGTACCGTAACACCAGCAAACCACAGAGCTCTTCCTCCGGCCGCGCCGATGAGCCGCCCGGCCGTCGCCTCCTGAGCCCGGTGAGTCCCGAAGTGTGGGGGGGTGTTGTCCCGAGTGGGGCGCGGAGGGGGGGGGGGGGGGTCCTAACACCACCATCACCCCACTCATCCCTCACCCCCCCAGCCCAGCTGAGACCGGCCCAACTCGGCGCACGCCGCGGCGGCAAGGCTGGGAAAGCGTCGGGCGGCGGCGGGGTGGGAATCCCAAACCTCCGCCCCACGAGGGACACATTCCCCCCGTGGCCACCCCGACCTGCCCCAAACCCCTTCTCCCACGCTCCCGGGTTGGGGGGGGGGGGGCCCTCGGCCGGTGCTGGGTGACGGAAGGGGGGTTATTTTCCCTCCCGGCGGCGGGGAAGGGATGACTTCAGCCCATTACTCACCCGCCGTAATGCCTTGGCGTCGCTCCCGCGCTATTCCTGGCCGTGACGCTCGGCCCTTCGCCCCAACCGCCGCCGCGCTCCCGGCCGGCAGCTCACCGGGAATTCGGGCCTAAAAAAAAAAAAAAAAAAAAGGTCAAAAGGAGGGTTAACGGGGTGATTTCAGGCACGGGGACAAGGCCCAAAGGGTTTGCAGGCGGCGAGAAAGCGCGGCGGGAGCGGTGGGTGGGATGAGTTTGGCCGGTCTCAGCCCGGCTCTTTCGCCGCTGTGGAATTAATTAATTAATAGCGCGTTACAACACCTAATTACAGCGCGGCCGGTCGCCTTCAGCCGCCCTCATTCCCGGTGAGAAGCCGGCCCGACACCCGGCTCGCCGCGACGCAGGGTGTTCGGGGCGGTTGGGGTTGTTTAGACCCCAATCGGTCGCTTTTCACCCCAAAAGCCCCTGTGGTCGTTGTCCTGACCCCCCCACCCTTTCCCTTGCCCCCCCCCCCCCCTCCCCGGGTTTCCTGCATTTTCGGAGCGATACCAGAAAGGGAGGAAATCACGTCAGCGGCTTCGCCGCGCTCGCAGTGCCGGGAACCAAATCTGAGCGGTGAAATCACGGCCGGGGCACCGCACACACGCGTGGACACGCGTGTGCTTCGCGTGTACATGCCGCACAGGCATGTAGTGGCACGCACACACGTAGAACCCCACACGTGTTCCCCCCCGGCGCCCACATACACATGTAGGCGTGTACCCACACGCGTGTGCTCACCTGTTGCTGCGGGCTTGTGCGCACACGCGTGTGCCCGTGAGGGAGTCCACACGCGTGTGCTGACCTGTGGGCATGCACGCACATGCGTGTGCCCGTGAGGGAGCCCACACGTGTGTGCTCACCTGTATCCGCGTGCACACACATATTGGCACATGGACATCCCCCCACGAACACGCCTGGGCACGCGTGCCCACACTGGCACACGCGTGTGACCCCCCCTGCACACCCCGCCCCCATACACACACATATCCAACTTCCCCGAAACACGTGCACACACACACACGCGTGGAGAGGCGTGCCCACGCATGAACAGACGTGGACATGCGAGCGTGCACACACGCAACGCCGTGAACCCGCACACGCGTGTGCACCGCGACTACACGCAGCGGCAGCGCGCCCGCGCCGGGACTACAACTCCCAGCGTGCACTGCGCCACAGGGGGGGGGCGGGGGGGCGGGATGGGACGAAGTTTGGTTGTCCAATAGGCGAAGGGGGCGTGGCCGAGACACCCAATAGGCGGCGAGGGGGCGTGCCGGCCCCGCCCCGCGGGCGCGGCGGGCGGTCACATGGCGCGGCGGCGGCGGGTGAGCGGGAGCGGCGTGGGGAAAGTGGGGGGGGGAGGGGGGTCTCGCGTGGGGGTGAGGGTGGGCAAGGAGGGGCGCGGGGGTCCCCCCCCACCCCGTTCTTCATTTTCCCCAGGTTGGCACCCTCTTTTTTTTTCCCCCACGCTTTTCAAGGTTTTTTTTTTTCCCCCAAAGTGGGCGGGGGTGGGGAGGGAGGGGGAGTTTGGGGTGGGGGGGGGTGAAGGGGATGCCGACCCCTCAATTTGGGGGGGGGGGGGAGGAGGAGGGGCCACCCTGGGGGAAGCCTTGGGCCATGGCGTCACCCGCCAGGCACCCAAATCGGCTGGCCGGTGCCTGGCAGGCGACGCTGTGGCCCAAATCATCCCAATTTACCCTTAATTTTTTGACGGGGAAGTGACAATTTGGGTGTCTCACGCCCCCTCCCCCTTTTTTTTTTTTTTTTTTTTTGTGTACCTTCCAGGGCCCCTCCTAAAATCAAAAACAACGACTCTCCCCCCATGGAGGACAACCAAGCGCAGCGACGGGACCCCCCCGAGCCCCCCGCCGCCAAACCGGCAGTGAGTGCTGCGCTTTTTTGGGGGGAGGATGCTGAACCCCCCCCCCCAGGATTTAGGCAGGGGGGGGACACAGGAGGTGCTTGGAGGGCGAGGATGAGGAAGAGGAGGGCGAATTTCCCAACATTGGGAGGAGAAACATACCCAAAACAGGGCAATTTGGGGAGAGAAATGAGGGCCCCCCCAGCAGCTTCTAATTTTTCTAATTATTTTTCTATCCTGACAGAGGAGAGGGGGAGCTTTTGCTGCGCCAGCCCCTCCCCATCCAGTGGCTTTTTATTTCAAAAAAAAAAAAAAAAAGCCTTGAAATAGTTCAGCCGTTAAAATACCGTGTCTGTCATGAGTGGTTAAAAGAATAGAAAGAAGAATTAAAAAAAAAAAAAAAAAATAAAGTACTTGGGAGCCGAGCAGCTGCTTTGCCCAAAAATAGCAACAAGTTTTATAACTCCGGAAAATGTAGAACAAACAAACGAGAAACATTTTTAGCTGAGAAAGGCGGCGGCGGAGGGGGGTGGAGGATGAATTTCTGCCCGTCTGTTTTCCTGGAAGCCGTTCCTCGTGTTCTCGCACGGTTCCAGCGCTTTGACCAACTTGGCCGGCGGCCCAGGCTGCCGGCTAACGAACCGAGAGCTCGTTAAACGCTTTCAGGGTTGCAAAGCATCCCCGGAGCTGGGGAGGGAGAAGGCGGGGGGGGGGGGGGGGGAAGCATTGGGTGCTTCTGCTCTGCCTCAGTTTCCCCTTAGGCTCCTTCTCACCGCCGTGTCCCGCAGGAGGCTGCGGGCCCCGACGATGGCCCCGAGCAGGAGAAGCCGGTGGAAGAAGCAACGACCGGTGGTGAGAAAGAGGAGGAGGAAGCCTTCCTCGTCAGCCTCTACAAGTTCATGAAGGAGCGACGCACGCCCATCGAGAGGATCCCCCACCTCGGCTTCAAGCAGAGTACGTCCCCACCGGAGCGGGGCCGGGAGGAGCCGCCGCCGGCTGGGCGTCCCCCTCACCCTCGGCGTCTCCTTTTTATTCCCAGTTAACCTCTGGAAGATCTACAAAGCTGTGGAGAAGCTGGGAGCCTACGAGCTGGTAAGCGACGGGGTGTCGTCCCCCCCGGGGAGCTGGGATGGGCCCCCCCCACGGGGGGGCAACCAGGCTGTCAACTCATCCCTCCCGCCGCAGGTAACGGGGCGCCGGCTCTGGAAAAACGTCTACGATGAACTGGGGGGCAGCCCCGGCAGCACCAGCGCGGCCACTTGCACCCGGCGTCACTACGAGAGGTAAGGGATGAGCCTTGGGGGGGGGGGGGTGGGGGGGGCACGGGGGGACACACGGGACACCCCCCCGCCCCGCTCTGTGCCTCAGTTTCCCCTCCCAGAGCCGGTTCTCACTGCCCCCCCCCCACCCCCCCCCCGCCAGGCTGGTCCTCCCGTACGTGCGGCATCTCAAGGGGGAGGACGACAAGCCTCTGCCCCCCAGCAAGCCCCGCAAGCAGTACAAGGTCTCCAAGGGCACCGAGACGGGCGAGAAGAACAACAAGAGGGCCAAGAAGGAGAAGGGCCGCGAGCAGGTGCGCGGCCCCCCCCAGAGCCCAGTGGAGGCGGCTCCGGTTTGGGAGCAGCCCCCGGACCCCCCCACACCCCCTGGGTTTGTCCCTCACTGGGGGTGGGGGGGGAAGCCGGGCAAGAGGGATGCGGCCGGCTGGGAAAAATAAAATAAAAAAGGCGAGCGGAGGGCTTGAGGGGCAGCTAAAGGTGGGGAGGGGGGCTGGGTCCGGGGGGGGGGGGTGGGGGTTGGAGCTGAGATGATGGCAGAGCCCGGCCCCCACACCCCAAATCCCCTTTGCTTTGCAGATGCCGCCAGACAAGGCGAAGCCGGAGGCGGCGAGGGATGCGCCGGAGCGGGGCCGAGCGGCGGAGGGCTGCTCCAGCCCGGCAGTGCCGACCCCCAGCCCCTCGGGGGGGTGTCCCGGCCCCTGCAGACCCCACAGCGAAACCTATAAACGCCTTTTCTCCAGCTTCTACTCCAAAGGCAACCACCCCATCATGTCTCCGCTGGCCAAGAAGAAGCTGCTGGCCCAGGTGAGCAAGGCCGAGTCCTTGCACTGCCACAAACGCCACTGCCCCGAGGGCCGGTGGGCGGCGAGCGACGCCGGGCCCGACCCCAACCCCGAGCCCCCCCGGCCGGTCACCGGCCCCCACCTCGATGAGCAGAGGAGCCCGGAACCGGCGGGAGCTCAGGATGCGGCTCCGAGCGGCGGGAGCGAGGTGGGACCCCTCCCCAGCGCATCCCCCCTCGACGGGAGAGACGACCAGCCCTGCGCCCGGGGCGAGGACGGGGGGCCGGCGCCCGCCGTCTTCACCGGCTGCTTCCACGCCTACCGCAACGAGGTGCTGAAGCCCGTCAGCTGCCACCCGCTCTGGGGTTATTTCTCCAGCTTGAAGGATTTTTTGGAGCCCTCTTCCCCCTTCCCGGGGCGGCCCGAGGAGCAGGAGCAGCCCCAAGACCTGCGGAGCAAAGCGGGGCGAGGGTGGAGCGGGGAGAGCCGGCGAGCGGGCGCCTGCGCCGCGGTTCAAGCCTGCTGGGTGCCCCCCGGCGCCGGCTTCGCCCCCGCCGCGCCCCGGGGTAAGCGCAGCCGGGAGGAGGAGACGGCTTTCGGCCCCGGCCCGAAGTTACGTGCCATCTCCCCCTTCATCAAGGAGGCGGATGGCAGGGACACGGGCGCCGGCTCGCCCAGGGGCCAGCAAGGGCTTGCCAAACCCAAGGCTGTGGTGGCCGGCCCCGGCTACTCCACGCCGCTGCCGCAAGCCCCGGACGTTTACAAGGGAGCGACGGTGCGTTTCCCGGTGAGCTTCGGCAACCCGCTGGAGCAGCTCAAACCCCAAGGGGTGGCGGTGGCACCGTCCCTTTCCGTCAACCCCTTCGTCGTCCCCGCGTTCCCCAGCCCTTTGGTAGCCGCTTCCACGCAGCCCACCGAGCCGTGCCGGCCGCTGGCGACCGGCCCCGGGCATTACCCGGTTTCCTACGAGAGCTCACTGCGGCACCGGCTCTACCCGGCGGCGACGTGGCACAGCCAACCCACCTACTCCTCCCCGCCCGCGCCGGCTTTTCACCGCCACGCCAAGCTGTAGCGGTTCCATCCCCGCTCCGGATCGGCCTCGATTCCTTGCGGAGAAGGGAAGGCTGGTGGGGCGCCGCGGCGGGTGAGAAGCGGGCGGCGAGGCGCGGCGCCGGAGCTGGTTCCCGCTTCCGAGCCTGCAGCAAAGAGGAGGACAAGGTGGACTGTGTCATTTTTACTCACGATCTTAGAGCTGTTTGTACCCGACATCGTTACGCCGGTGACTTTAACTACCAGTATCACAAGGTTATATATATATTATATATATATATAGACATACACACATAAAAAGGGAGGAAAATGAGTTGCGGAGGTTTCTGTGTCGCTGGAGAGGCCGTGCCCCGGCGCGGTTGCGCGTGATGTGGCGAGCGATGGTTAATCCCATCCCGCCGTGCCCGGGCTGCTCAGCGACTCCCTGGTCCAGAGCCCCGGCTGGCTCACCCCCCACGATGCAATTTTAGTTTTTAATTACGTTGCCTCCACCCCGGGCTCCAGCGGTTTGGGTTTTGTTTGGTATTTTTTTTTTTTTCCTTTTTTTTTTTTTTTTTTTTTTAATAGGGGTTTGGGACTGCGGCGAGGGTGTCTGTCCGCAAAGCGCTCGGGCCGCTCGGCACCCCGAAGAGCCACAGCGGCAGCGCCCGAAATAAAACCGGCTGGATGGTCCCGACCTGGTGGTGTTTGGGGTGTCCTTGATTTCTGGGATCGGGGCAGGGTTGGGGGGGGATCCTCACCCTAAGCAGGGAGCCCCAGAGGTGTTTCGTGATGCCGTGGGGATGGGCTGAGACCTACCTCCGGGGCCGCCCCGATCCTGTGGGGAAGGAAGATGCTTTTCTGTGTCGGTTTTGGGGGAAATCGCAGCCATTTTGTGGAACAGCCAAGCGTGAACCAGCCCAACAACACCTCCAGGTGCTTTTTGCCTTCGGGAGCTCCCGTCAAGCCGTTACAAACGGCCCAAAGGGTCCATTGGAGCTGCAGGACTCGCTTTCCTCATGTCCCCAGAGAGGATTGTGGCTTCAGGTGGAGCAGGAGCATTAAGTCAGCTTTTAAGGACCACTTCTGTCATATCCATGGAGAGGAAAAGCTTTGGGATAAAAATTGGAAAAAGGAAAGTTAGCCTCAGGCAGCACCGTGACACTTTTGGCATTAGGCTCATTGAGAAGAGCAGCATCACGGACCCAACCACGCCTGGATCCTCCTGCCCAGGCATCAGAAGGGCATTACACGCGCTGCAGGCCGCCCCGGCCGTACCCCGAGAGCTTCGCCACCAAAACACGCACCATTAACCCCGGATTGTGAGCGAGGACGTGGCCACAGAGCTCGAGCCTTCCCACAGAGAGCTGCCTCCGCGCCTGGGAGCGAGGGCACTGCAGGTGCCTCAGCTTTATTCTTGTTATTTCAGCAGGGAAATCGGGACTTCAAGCCTGGAAAGAAAAAGAGAGTTGAGCTGCTTAAAAACGCCGCAGGCCAACAGCAGACCCTTGTTTTTCAAGGCGGAGGCTAAAGCAGAGCCTAAGTTGATCCCGGCTGTTTTCCCATCGCTGGCAGCTCGGGGAAAAGGTACCACGTTTAGTGGCACCCCGACACCAGGGGTTAGCTCAGCCTTGGGGTTTGAGGTCATCCCACAACCTTCCCTGCAGGCCGTTCCCAGAATGCTGGCAATGTAAAATCTTACCAGTTTTGGTCTGTTGTTTGTTTTGGGGGATTTTTTTTTTTTTTCCCCCCCTCCACAAAACCCCAGGGAAAAGGGAACAAAGGGTTTGGGGTGCTGGCAAATCTCAGCATCCTCAAGCCCACTACTCACCATCGTGGGTGTGCGAGAGGCTACGACGGCGAAGCAGGACAGTCCCCCCAAAAACCCCAGACAGCAGCTGGAGCGGCGTGTGTACAGCCCAGGAGAGGGGCTTGAGGGGACGCACGGCACCTCCCCGCTCTCACGACGAGCAAATAGAGCCATCGAAGGGGAAAACGGTTATTCCCTGCTCTCTCTTTAGGCTCCCTGTAACAAACACCCTGCCCGGCCAAACTGAGCCAAAACCAGGATCTTCTCACGAGCCGGCAGGATTGAGGAAGTGAGCGGAGGTTTCGGAAGCGTGCCTGCCCTCGTGGGGAGCAGGGGGCCGCCCCGGCTCCCTGGGTCTCCCATCTGCCAAGAATCACCCTCCCCGAAAGCAGCTCAGCTGGCAAACGTTGCATCACACCCTGTCCCTCTGGGGAAGTGAGGGCTGAGGGCTCAGCAGAGCCACAGCACGGGCTGGAGACCTATGGAGCACGGGGATTATCCCTGATAACCATAAAAAAAAAAAACAAAACAAAAACCACTGAATCCCAGTGACAGCCCTGTGGGGGGGGTGGGACACTTGTGCCCAGTCCTGGCAAACCACCATCAGTGGTGCCCAACTCAGCCTCACCTCACCTCAGCACCTTTGTGTGTCACCCCTTCTCCTGTTTCCTTCATTTCAAGCACAAGCTGCCCGGGCGCCCAGCCCTACCCCTGCTTGCCCACACAAACACAACTGTAAAGGTTAAATCAAGGCTCATCAGGGCAGATGAAAGCTGAGCTTTTTTCAGCACGTGTAAATATTCCCAACAGTAGGAGGAATCCATTGAAACTTTCACCCAGAGGAGGGATGTACGTACCAGGAGTTGCTGCTGCCCCGGTTGCTGCCCAGCCTGCTCCCAGGACCCACAGCATGGATCCTTCCCTGCCTGCGCAAGCCTCCACGCAAGAAATCAGCCCTCAACAAAAGCAGTCGAGGGCTGGGCGGCAACCCAAGCTGCTTTTGGAAGGGACATGGGCAACAACGTCAGTAAAGAACAACAACAACAAAAAAGTTTTATTGAATGGCAACAAAACCAGAACACCTCACTCTCGCCCCCAGTTTGCTCCAGCCTGAACCAGCCCCCCCCGGAGCTGCTCCTCTCCCACCCCACAGCCGAGCTCAGCCTTCCCAAAGCGCCCGGTCGCAGCCGAGGGGGGGCCCGGGGGTCCCTACGGTTTCTGGCTGAGCGTGGGCCCGGCCGTGGCGATGAGGGAGGAGCTGGCCAGGCTGCTGCCCAGCGTTATGAGCGTGGTGCCAGCCCCTCCTGGCAGCACCCCCTGGGGCAGCAAGTGTCTGTTGGCCAGGGCCTCTCTGGTGTGGAGGATGGTGCTCCCGTCGTCCACCACGGAGGGAACCCTCCCCAGGGTCTCCACTGTCCCCAGAGCATGGCCGAGGGCCGCGGCGCTCTTGGGCAGGCTGACCTTCTCCCCCATGTGTCCCAGGGGTCCATCGCCCTTCACCGCGGCCAGCGTCGAGGTCAGGATGACCGTCTTGGAAGCCGTTTGCAGGACGGGTCCCACCTTGGAGTGTACCAGGCCGCTGGGAGGGCTGGGGGTGCTGGCCAGGGGGGAGGTGGCGAAGGTGACAGCGCCAGTGGGACTGCTGGCGGATGAGGAGGAAGGCTGGATGCCCGGCAGTTTGAGGGGGACAGAGGCAGCCTCACCCATCACAGACTTGGTAAGTGCAGACAGCTTGGCGTCCGACATAACGTAGAGCGTCTTCATGGGGCTGGTGCTGGTCACTGCGGAGAGGGGGAGAGCACGGTCAGTGGCGTGGGGACGCGGTGCCCCCCTCCCTGGCCCGCAGCCGTGTCCTGGTTTGGGCTGGGATAGAGCTAATCCCGTGGGCCGGCAGGCTTTTGTGCTGAACAGAACGACCTGACCTCCCGCTCTCCGGTGCGAGACCCCAAAACGAACCCCAGCCCCGGCACAGCCCGGCGCAAGGAAACCGCAGCAGCCAAACTCGGGCACCAGCAGCACCGCTCCCCTCCTAGACGGCTCGGATCCCCCCAAGGATCCTCCTTCAGTGTCTGATCTTCTCCCCCAGAAAGCCCCCTCCTGGCAAGCCAGGGTGTCCTGGCTCTTCCTTAGCCAAACACGCTCCATCTTGCCCCATCCTACCTGCCAAGCTGCCGCAGACCACGCCGAGCTCACGTCGCTCGCTGCGGCCCAGCTCCAGGCAAGCTCTTGCTCACCTCTGGCATCTCCAGCTGGAGACTCTCCTCACTCTCCACCCCAAGATGCGGCTAGAAGACTTCAGGCTTTGTAAAATGAAACCCTCTGTGCTCTAAGGCAATGGCAGAGGCTGTATCACGGTGGTTACCCTGTCTGAGTCGGCTCCCCAGACTGCACCTACACTAACCACAGCCCAGAAAGCAAGAGGGGAGAAACACTGCACCGACATCTAAACACTGGCTTTAGGCACGCTCAAGGGGTGGGGAGAAAGCCTGGAGACCTGCTGCTGGTTAAAACACAACACTGGCCAGACAGACCCCAGCCAGGAACAGCCCGTGGGTTTGCCCCCGAGGTCGCCCAGGGCTGCGGCTTGCTCCGTCCCTCGGGGGCCCGCGCCGAGGAGCGGAAAGCGGCGGGCCCAGCCACGCGGCGCCGCATCTCTCCGACACGGGGACGCCGAAAGAGGCACCGTGTCCCTCGCGCTGGGGACCTCTCCGAAACGCCTCGAGGGGAGAGGGCGCGGAGCGAAGGCTGAGGACCAAACTGGCTAACCAGGAGGGGACCACCGAGCCCACCGTCCTGGGGTCCGGAGGGCAGGAGCACGGCGGGAACGGGCAGCTCCAGCCACCCCTACGCAGGCTGGGGGAGCGGCACGGACACGTGATGATGCTGTTAAGACATCGGCAACGGCCGCTCCACAAAGCGAAGAGAGCCTGGAAAGTTTTCTGTGCCAACACACCAAATCCAACCCCTGGCTGCTCCAGCAGCTTTCCTCCCCGCGGGACGCAAAGCCAGCTCGCACCTCCAGCGAAAGCAGGTGAAGATCTCCACGGATCTAACTTCAGCCGCTAGCTACGACAAGTGACAAAAGGAACAAGAAAAAAAAACACACAGGAGACAACTCAAACCCGGTGCTTCTGCACCTCCCTGTCGAGTCCTGGGGGGAGACGAGCAGAGCTTGGGGGTCTGCAGAGGTCTGTCGGCCGGGTTTGACGCCCGCGAGGAAAGCCGACTGCGCAGTAAAACAGAGATGCTGCAGAGCTGCCTCGTTTGCCTCTGGAAATCCAAACTTCATCCGCCAGATCCGGCCCGAGCACCGACTACCTGCTCACCCCGCCACCCGCTTGGAAATCGGCTGGACTGAGGGAAACGGCAACACTGGCTCGGCTGGCAGCGGGCTCTGCGGCACAGGGGCCGTCGAGGATGCAACAGCATCATCATTTTGTGTGGATTCTATTTTTTTTATTATTCTTTTTTGTAAATCCGAGGCTACTGGCTGGGCAGCGGCTCTGCAATATTTATTTAGTTGTAATTGGATGGGCCTGCTCTCCCCAGGCAAGGTAAATAAATGTCGGCAGCAGGGAGAGTGCTTAGTGCTATGAGCATGGGACGGGGGCCCTAAACACAAACTGCAGATAATCCCTTCTGTGTCCGAGCCCAAGTTTAACGCCCCGCTCTTCACCAATTGCTCGAAAAAAGCCTGCATTGAGCCAAAACTCCTTGCGCAAAGAAACCACGGGGGAGCCTAACTTAAAGGGGGGGACAATAAAAAAAAAGAAAAAAAGGGGAGAAGAAAAAAAAAAAAAAAAAAAGCAACAGGCTTAAAAATAAGCAGCGTTCAGGCAGGTAATCCCCGGCGTGACTCCGCACACGTCGCCCGGCGGCACGGCTCC